TGGTTACTAGGAAATTACGAGGAAAATGGTTACTAGGAAATTACGAGGAAAGTGGTTACTACGACTTTACGAGGAAAAAGGCTTTACGATGAACGTGTTTCGACGAAACGCGTTTCCTCGTAAGTTCCTAGTAAAAGGCCATTTACTAGGAACTAACGAGGAAAACCTGCCCTAGTAATAGACGAGTTTTCTTGTAGTGAGTATCTTAATCAATAAAACTTGTTTACAAACTTTTAAGAATATTGCTGTGTTTCTCAATGGTTTGCTTTTATAATACATCTAAAAACGAACAATTTGTTTTTGGTATAACTAGAATAATCGAATGTCACTGTTCTATGTAGTTCAGTTACGTTGTTATTGCAGTGCATTCTGTTTTCTAGTGGCAAACAAATCCTTGGGTCAATGTATTGAAAAGCATATTAAAAGTATGTTTAAAAAATAAAATAAAAAGCATATTAAAAGTCTGAGACACATGAAACATGAACACCACTCGAGAAACATCTGAACGTTGGGAGCATATCTTCACAGTGATTATATACGCATAAACCATATAGAAACCACATGATTGGATTGAGAACAAAAAAAAAGATGCATAGAACTTTTGTCAGGATATATTTTTAGGTCGGGTCGAAAGTAAAAAATGGACGTTTTCCCGGATCTCGTATTCGGCCCAAACCATCTAGTGTTGTGGATTATATAATACGGCAGCGTTTTGTGATAGACTCTCTCATCAAGTCAACGACTCAACATCAACCTATAGTGTTGCGCATTGTCTAAAACGGCAACGTTTTGGTGGTTACATCAACATAAACGCCATACGAGGAAACTTCCTAAAGAAGGCAACAAAACAAAAGCATCAGATCACAAGCCGCGCGAGTTGACTCTCTCTCACTTCATTATTATTCATAGAATTTCGTATTTCATTTTCACATGAAACATCACTTCTCTATCCCTTTCGCTTTCGCTATCGCATCTCCGCCCCACGTGTCAACGAATAATCGGAAATGCCCCGCCGAAACGACGGCGATCGTGGTCGTTTCACATCCACCGCGCTCCTTTTCATCGGACTCATCTCGTGTCTTATCGTCTACGCCGTCTTCTTCAATCTTCTCCGTCCACGTCCCCGAGACCACACGCTAGATTCCGCAGTTCCGTTCACGGAGTCGGGAGATCGCGGGGGTGTAGATGGAGGCGGAGGAGGAGGGTGTTGCCGTGGAGTTGGTGATTTGGAGCTGTGGGGTCCGGCGGTGAAGTGGGGGACGGATTTCAAGTTTGATTCTCCGGGTGAATGTTGTAAGGCGTGTAAAGCTATGTGTAGTGGTAACGGTGGGCCTTGTTTGTGTGATTCGTGGGTGTTTTGTGGGAATAAAGAGGCTTGTGGGTCCAAGTTTGGTGAGGTCGTGACTCTGATCCCTTTTGCGATTTGTTTGATTTATGTTTACGTATTTGGATATGTGCCTGTTAAGTGTTCGACGGAATGCGTAAATGAGCAAGTGGTTGTTAATTAATTATTTCTTTTAAAAAGGGAAGAAACTTGGTGATTTGATTATAGTGTTTGAGAAATGCTGGAAAGACCCTTGCTTTGGGTTCAAGTTACAGAGATTCTTACGTGTTTGTTTTGTTTGTTTTGGGCAGTGTTGGTTGAAGAAGCAAAAGGATGTCTTGGTGCCTGATCGACAGGAAGGTGGGCAGAAAGTTATGTGGACATCTGGGCTTATCTTCGGACATGGCCAGGTATCTCTTTATATTATGGCTGAAAAAACTACCTCCGTTGACTTTGATACTTGACGCCTTATGCCTCTCTGATTTTGTTGTGATGACAACTCCTCTGCTTATTGATTAGCTGTTTTGCTTCTGTTAGGGCATTGTTGGATTTGAGACAGAACACGGTGTACTTCATGTCAAAGTAAGTGTATCTAAGTTTAATTGTCTACTTAATGGGAAAGTTGCAGATTTGACGTGGTTGTTTAAATTTTGGTTGCAGCTTCACCCTGAATGCGCTCCTCACTCAGTGTATTACATTCTTAGTTTGTTAACTCTGCGACACTGCGCAGGCTGCCAGTTTCATCGGGCAGAGAACCGAGGATCATATTGGGACTCAGAAGGCAATCATATTAACAATGTAAGATACCTTTCACCGATTTTGCCTTTTAACCGCTACAACCCACTTGCCAGTATAGATCATAGCAGCTAGGCTCTGTTCTCATAGTATAAATACTGATTCTGGTGTTATGACCTCAATTTAATAGACTCTCTACTATCAGATTCATCTATTATACCTTTTTATTAAATAATTTTCGTTTTTGCTGTCGAAGTCCAGATGTGTGATAGACTTTTAGCTATCTGATTGATCAGATTATACATTTTATCAGTTAATATCTGTCTTTGACATCGAATATCACGTGTGTGATCAGTGGCCACTGACTTCATAAACTCACATTGTAGTCCTTTCCCGGCTCTGGATTCAGTATATATCGAGTATGCTTGTTGCCGTCTCTAGCAAATGTAATTTCCTTTGAATTGCTTTGTTCGTATCTCGTGTATAATGTTAGACACACCAGATTGTACCTTACCCATTATAAACCGCGACTGGTCTGATCGCATAGTAGAAAATGTGATCCATGTCTTCTGCCTAAGATATCTGTCAATGTGATCGACTCTTTAGCCTTTTGTATCATTTGATTGCACAGCAAACTTACAGCAAACTTTCTTCTTAGAGATTTTGCTTGTTATTAAAAACAGTCTCATTCTTTCTCCATGTTCCTTGCAGGCTCCCTATGGTCCACCATACGCCATGATTCAAGGCATACTCCAACCCGAGGGAAACATATTCACACCAATCCCAACCGAGCACTGCCCAACCATAACCCGTGGCTCTGTTGCATGGGTCGGCTCAGGACCAGAATTTTTCATCAGTCTAGCAAACCACCACGAATGGAAACAATCTTACACTGTTTTCGGCTCTGTTTTACCAGAAGACATGGACGTTGCTGAGAAGATTGCAGGTTTACCAACAATATCTGATGTCTGGAACAGCGTTAATGTCTCAGTTCTCGAGAAACCGGTTTCCTTAACCGTACGGAGAATGAAGTCGGGCCAAGAACAATCAGAACCCGGTTCGTGAAGCACAATCGATAAAATGAGCTCAGTATAGTTCTTGTTTATCTATTTTTTTCCTCATTGTGCATAATATGATAGTGATGCTGCGCAAAAAAAAGGCTGAGGATTTTTTTTTGCTTTTAAATGGAAGTTATTGGTTACTGCTATATTTCCAAATTTTCCACATTAAACCGGAGCCAAACTAATACAAATTGAATATATTAAAAAATACCAAATAGTTTGAAACTAAACCATTGGTTTATGTATGCTTAACCGGTGAATAAAGTCTGTTAAACGTATGCGGAGGAGGTGGAGAAGGTGCGTCGGGTGCGCACACGTCACCCACTCCACGGCGCACTTTAGTAGATCTCTTCAACCGGCCACCTCCTCTCCTAACTTATCTAACCTACGCCTCTCCTCCGCCTCTTTATTATCCACCGCTCCTTTCCACTAACCCTAATTTTCACCATCTCCCCCGCGCCGCCATGTCAACCCCCGATGGATCTCCCGTCGCCACGCCCCTCGATCCCTCCACCGCCGTCACCGTCGCGACCACCTCGACCCGACGAGTCCCGCCTCCGTGCTGGAACGACGAGGAGACCGCCGCGCTCGTCAACGCCTACAAGGAAAAATGGTTCGCCCTCCGCCGCGGGAACCTCCGGGCGGCAGATTGGGACGACGTCGCCGCCGCCGTCTCCTCTCTCCACACACTCGGAGGTCCGGCGAAATCGGCGATCCAGTGCCGGCACAAGATCGAGAAGCTCCGGAAACGTTACCGCGGCGAGAAGCAACGGTCTCTCAACCGCCCGGGGAAGTTCTCTTCGTCGTGGGACTTGTTCCCCATTTTGGACGCGATGGAGTTCGCTCCGGTGACTCCAACCGCCGTCGAACCGTACGATCCGGATCCGGAGGAGGATGATGATGGTAACGGATTTAGGGTTAGATCGAAGAGGTCTGTGAATGTGAATGTGAATGGGAGATTAGATTCGTCTAGAGATGGATTTGGGGTTAGATCTAGGGTTAAGAGTCAGATGAAAATGTACGGTTTAGATTCGGATCATGAATCAGGTTTTGGATTGAAGAGGAGGTTTAATGGTAACCCTAACTTTGATGGAGAGTCTGATGATGAGATTGTGTTAGTGCCTAAGGCAACTAGGGTTAAAGGTTCTTCTCATGGTGGGTTTCCTTTGAAGTCATTTGGTGATAGGAGTTTTGGTTCTTCTCATAATCATGGGTTTAAAGCTAAGAGCTTTGGTAAACCTGAAGGTAACTTCTCTCCGGAGATGGATTATGATGATGAGTTTGAGGAAGGATTCAGCCCGAGGATTAGGCGAGGGAACGGTTATGGGAGAAAAACGGGTGGTTCTAATGGGTATGGGTCGTCGTCTTCTAGGTTTAAGCATGAGCAGGTGAGTAATGCAGCAGAGGTTGAGTTTGATCCGGTTGATGAAGTTGTGTCTTCGGTTAAGATGTTGACTGAGATGTTTGTGAGAGTGGAGAATTCGAAGATGGAGATGATGAAGGAGATGGAGAAGACGAGGATGGAGATGGAGTTGAAGCATTGTCAGATGATGCTTGAGTCGCAGCAGCAGATTATTGGCGCGTTTGCTGATGCGTTGAGTGAGAAGAAGAGCACGAACGTGAGAAGGCCTGGTTCGTAGTTTTGAACTATGTGTTCATATGTTTTTTTTTTTTAATAATATGATCAAATCGCTTTCTGAGTGTAGTACCAAAGTGTGCCTTTTCAGTTACTAGGAACAGAAACTGCAGTTGAGTTTTATGGTGTAATGACACTTTGAGGTTTTCTTTGTTTGCCATTTTTGATTAACTTATATAGTAAGTAAACATTTCTGTTTAGGCTACTTTATATAATAACTTTGAAGCTGCAGGGTAACAATATGGAAGCAGAGGTGAATATTTTGACACTTTTGAACGCTTCACGTTTCATCACAAAGGCTCATGAGGTGAGCTTAAGTACCTCGCAGAGTCAAGTCTTGTAAGCATAAAAAGTTGTTGTATCATATAAACTCTATAAATTGAATATTTGTAAACTAAGCACACCATAAATACATAAATTTCTGAATAGAAACAGTACAAAATATGACATAATTCGATAAGGTTAAATAGCATTGAGCAAACATACATAACATGGACCAGTAGTTGCAGGGAAGATGATCCCAGACTTGCACTTATGAATGCTTCACAGTTCTTTACGAAAGCTCATGAGGTGAGGTAAAATACCTAGCCGGGAAGTCCACACGACGCCTTCTCCATTTGTTCAGAAAGAACACCGCAAAAGGAGCAAACACTATGATTGCTGTAATCGCTGGATACGTGTAGAGAAAAACATTCAATATAACTCCACCAGGGCGATGTTCCGTGTGCGAAGTTGGAAACGTAATATTCAGCATTGCGAAATTAGCAATCCCTAGAGCAGCTATAGAACCATACAGAACCTTCCACATGGGTAATCCAACTGTAAGAATCATGATCACATATAGAGATAAAAAGAAAGCTATCCCATTAGGGATATAAAAAAATATAGCTTCGTAGAAAGTCATAGTCATCTGCCCTGCCAAGTGGTCATCCCTATCACCACGCTTCGAATCTTCCTGCCAAAATCCACCGGGAGGGCTAAGGTTAGCCTGGTATGTAGCTGTTACTATCAGAACAGCTACCACAAGTATCACACTGCGACTGTCGTCACTGTTGGGAGATGTTTGTCTTGTCTTGTTCAGGTTTGTTAGGCCTAAGACACTACTCAGTTTCTCAAGGAAAGATGGTTTTGTGCTCAAATATTTCGCAAGAGTTGTTGTTGTTGTACCATAAACTAGTCTTTCTTTAGCAATTTGGATTAGGCTACTACTAATTGGTTTAGGTGAAAGATGAGATTGGTGAGTTTGGAGTATATCCTTCGCAGTTTTATTATCATTGTTCTTCGCTTTTGATTTCACGCTTCCACGTAGCAACTTCATGACCTTGTAAAATCAAAGCACATTTATCTCAGCTTGTATGCCAAAAATATCTCAAGAACTCTCACAAAGAACACAACCCAAGAAAGCAAAAGTTTCATATGTTAAGTAGCCCAAGCAAGTAACTGCTCTAGTGATGATACTAGAGCAAGATGAATCATACAATTTATTCATGAACTTGTATGAACGAACAAACCAAGAACTTTAGGAGGTAAAAAGAGGAACTATATGTAGAGAGACATTTTAAAAATAAATAGGAGGTAATGACCTCATTGTTTGAACATGTAATTTAACTCTCTTTTGGAGAACAGCATCACCTTATTAAGTGAGTTATGATCTCTATTAGGTGAGTAAGACCATGTTTATTGGAGTTCTTTAGGTGGGGTTCTTAGTTTTGGTTAAAATACGTTTCTAAGGATTTTAACTAAGAAAAACTAAAAATCGGCTCTTAAATAAGAGATAAAAGAACTGATTCTTAGCTAAAAACTGTAAAAAAAATAAAAAAAAAGCAAATCATAAGTTAAAAATCCTATTCTAAGAACATCCGATAAACACGCCCGAAGAATTAGCTACTAAACCAAATTAATTGTTTTCTTGGTATAAAAAAAGAGCTTTTACCTCAGGTTGATTAGTAAGTGCAGCAATATGCAAAACTGTGTTACCATCTTCATCCTTCCAGTCCAAGACTTCCTCCCTATTTGATCTCTTAACCCATCCAAATAAAACTCTAAACGCCTCAAACCGGTGGTTCTTCACAGCAATGTGAACTGCTGTCTCACACTTAATCGTCAAATCATCTACCGAAGAAGGAAAAGCACACAACATCTCACCCAACAACTCTGCATCACCTAGTCTAGCCACATGATGCAAAGGAGTAATCCCTCCTCGTCCTCTGACGCTGACTAAGCTGCTGTCAATTGCTATAAATCCTCTCGCCATTCGTATATGGTTGTTTAGCAAGGCTAAATGCATAGGGCTGAAGCCTGAAGGATTTAGCTTCAAAGCAAGCGATGGCTTTAGAGTCATTACCTCCATGGCGAAGTGAGTGTGTCCTTTCTCGGCTGCAACGTGTAGTGGCGTCTCACAAAAAGGCAGTTTCTCATAGTGTTTTAGAATGTAATGATCTTCTGCAACCATCTTGTAGAGCCTCTCAATATCTCCATCTTGAGCGGCCTTCTTGATTCTCTCATAGATATTATCATCTTGATAAGTATCTGATACATCCACGACAATCGACATAGCTATGGATCTTTATAGAGAAGTTTGTTCAACGAAACCGAAATTTTCCGCAGGTTTATTAGAGAAAAGAACAACACATTTATTGATCATTTTAGTGGATGTTTTTTTTATTAGAACCAATGGTCTCATTTAAATAGGAATGAACTTTGGTAATGGTAAAGCTATCATTTGATAAAGGAACTTCAAGAAAAAGGGAAACTGAAAATAAGCTATACGGAAAAGTAAGTATTCTGAACTTCCTTTACGAGTCCCTAAACTTCATCTCCAAGTAAAGAATGTGTGTTGCAATTTTGTTTGCTAGGAGTTTGATTGTTATTACTTTGGTAAAATGACACTCCAATTAATTATCTACTTTTCAGATGACACCTAACTTGCATTTTAGCTTTTCCGGTGAAACTAACTTGCGTTTTAGCAGATATAAATTAATTACTGATGTCAAGTCTTATAAGTATAAAAGTTGTCAACAATAAAATAGTTAGAAACTCTATAAGTTAACGCTAAGTTGGATTTACCATAAAATAAAATATGATTCTTTATCTCTGATCTCAAGTCTTTTAAATATAAAAGTTGATATTGTCGTTGATGTCAGTTGGATTTTAGTATAAAGTAAAAGTTGATTTTTTTTTGTCAATGATCACAAGTCTTGTAAGTACAAAATTGATTCTTTATTACTCATGTCAAGTGTTTTACTTTAGAAACTCTATAAATTAACGTTCATTTGAATTTTAACATAAAGTAAAAGTTGATTATTTTCGCAGATGTCAGGTTATGTATTGCAGAAACTATGTAAGTTAAGCTTGCTTGCATTATAGCATAAAGTAAAAGTTGATTTTTATCATTGATCTCAAGTTTTTTAAGTATAAAAGTTAATTCTTTGTCGCTGATGTCAAGTTTTATAATGTAGAAACTCTATAAGCTAACACTGCTTAACATTTTAGCATAAATAAAAATTAATTAAGGTATTTTCAGTATTTTCCCAACAAATTCCACGCTCCTTGGTATAAAATTGAAACCAGTGTAGTAGATCCTCGTTTTTTCCCGGTCCATAAACGCGAAACTATTGGGCCTAGTATTTGAATTTTTATAGCCCATTAACACTGTTACGGTAGCCCGATTCTACACGTATCGTCTGTTATCGTTTCGGGGTCTCTCTCACTCTTGACGAGTAAGGAAAAATGGAGATAGCAGCAGCGACTCCGACGAGCTTCACGACGCTCCGAGCTCGTGCGTCAGCGATAATCCCGTCTCCGATACGCAACCTGAGATGTTCTTCATCTCCTTCCCTAAGAGCTTCCCTATCGAACGGTTTACTCTCGCCGTATACCGGAGGAAGCATCTCCAGTGACTTCTGCGGCGCCAAGCTTCGTTCCGAATCGCTTAATCCGTTGAATATGTCTAGTTCCAAGCCTAAGCGCGGTGTTGTCACCATGGTACTTTGAATTTTACAAAGCTCTACGTTGTTTAGGTTATCGTAATCGAGGTTTTAGTAGATGTAGCTGAGATTTAGGCGAACCAATAGATTAGAGAGAGACTAGATATAGGCAGCTAAGCTCACAAGAGGAAGAGTGTTCATGCCTTTGATTTGTTTGATTGATTGCAAACGCTACATGTTTAGATAGAGCGTTGAGTATGATTGTATGAAGCATGAACTGTACTATGAGGTTTCTTAAGGAGAAAGAAGTTCACTATGTGGCAGAATTTTCGTTTAATCGTATATGCATCGATTTCTGTGATCTTTATGGCAAAACATTTTGTTATGAACCATCTGGCTTCCCTGGGGGATTTGGATTCCGCTTATATTGTGTTTTGACGTACCAATCGCAGTTAATTTGCAACTTGTGTTGAGGCTTTATACGTATGTTCATGTGGTTTCTTCGATCAACAGGTTATACCGTTTTCGAAAGGAAGTGCACATGAACAACCTCCTCCTGATTTGGCATCTTATCTGTTCAAAAACCGAATTGTATATTTGGGAATGTCTCTTGTACCTTCAGTTACTGAGTTGATACTTGCGGAGTTTCTTTACCTTCAGTATGAAGACGAGGAAAAGCCTATTTACCTCTACATTAACTCTACTGGGACGACCAAGGTAGGCTTCCGTTAGTAGAAAGTCTGCCATCTTTGAGAATGCATGCTGAATAGTGAACTTGAAACTGTGGTGTGTTGTAAATGTCTATTAACCATTAACTAATCTTCATAATGTATTAAGAGAATGTATTTTCTCACATTTCAGAATGGTGAGAAGTTGGGCTATGATACCGAGGCTTTTGCAATTTATGATGTCATGGGGTTAGTAATCCTTATCCCTCTTCGTTATTCTTATCCATCTTCGTTATTCACGTCATCTTAACAAGAATCTATGACTAAACTCTAATCCTTGAACTGCTTTCCCAAGTATTCTAAACCGAAATTGAAGAAGATCTGTATCTTGAAATTTTCTTGACATTTTTTTTTTGGGAGAATGAACATATATATTCATGCAAGAACAACTCTTATACTATCTTTGACTTTAGGTATGTCAAACCACCAATTTTTACTCTTTGCGTTGGGAATGCTTGGGGTGAAGCTGCTTTGCTTCTGACTGCCGGTGCAAAAGGAAACCGTTCTGCACTGCCCTCATCAACTATAATGATAAAGCAGGTTCTTCCTGATCTTTTCCTTTTAGACTCTAACTGGCGACTGTTCCTTCCTGATTGGAAGAAAGTTAGGCTTAATGTTTTCTTTTGTTTGACAACTTTGTAGCCCATTGCTCGATTTCAAGGACAAGCAACCGATGTTGAAATTGCAAGGAAAGAAATCAGGCACATAAAGACAGAGATGGTGAGTAGATTCAACTTTTTTATGAATTCGCATAGACGAAAATTGTGCTATGCGTAGAATATCATTGTTTAATCTTTCATTGTACAACAGTATCTAGTTGTGTGCGTGATATGTTTAACATGCGGGGATTGCCTTATGCAGTTACTAGCAAAAACTAAAATGATGTGTGCATTATCTTTCATTTACTCTTCACTTTTGCCTTCAAACTTTTCTGATATTATTACATGGATCGCTGTTCGATGTAATGTTATACTCATCAAGGTCAAGCTGTATTCAAAGCATATTGGTAAATCACCGGAGCAGATTGAAGCTGACATGAAACGCCCGAAATATTTTAGTCCCAGTGAGGCTGTTGAATACGGAATCATTGATAAGGTACTCTATGAGTGACTTTGTTCTCCGTCAACAAATCGACTGGTTATCTTCTGCAGAGTTGACTTATTCTCTTCCTGTAATCTGTTTGCAGGTGGTTTACAACGAAAAGAGCAGCCAAGACAGAGGAGTCGTGTCCGACCTTAAAAAGGCACAACTCATCTAAATGTCAGAATCGTCTTCCTAAATATCCTGTGATTAACAGGTAAATGCATATCAACTATAATGATGATGAAATTGCTTTTTAGACTTTATTTTCCTTTATTCTGGAATCATGAGCTACTTTCGTTATGTCAATGTTGGACCAATTATACCATAGTTAGGAGCATTTACTAATAGAGAGGAACACCTGTAAAAGCTCAAATACTTTTTACACTCCACAAACGGTGTATGATAATTACTTAAGCATTCAGACACACGGGGACACAGATATGGTAATGTAAGTGCTTATAGTGGCCTGGAGTCTTCTAGTTTTGCATCTTCTTTAGTTCAAATAGTTACTTCCCATCTTCATCTTCTGTAACTCTCTTAGGACCCATTTTGTTCTAGTGATATCATTTTCATTGCCCATTATGACAAATTTCACTATTGATGGCCGACACATGTCCAAGAATCCATGCACTTTCAAACACTAGAACTCATATATCATTTGCTGTCTTAAACAAATTACTAATCTAAAACCTCTGTACCTGCTTTAATCATTTGCATATTATAGGTCATGGTTACTAAAAGTAATTTTAGTCGACTTGTAATTCTATTGGCTTCTCCTTTCATTAGACTTTACTCTTCCTTTATTATGACATTGTCATCATGCTGTTGTGGTTTTAGGTTGGTGATTTGACCGCGGATCAAAGGGAGATCGACACAGAATCCGTTGTAAAGAGAAGTTATTGAAAACATTACTTGTAGTGCTGCAATTTTAGGGTTATTTGAACAGAAAACAAACCCATATGTGTTGGCTTGTGAATGCCTAGAAACATAATTGTTGTATTTTCAGTCTTCACTATGTTTTAAACTTATTAAAATGAAATCAGTTTCGTTACTCGTAAGTCGTAATGTCTTAATGTGTGTGTGTAAACCATTGCTTGAATTGGATGGATATATAAAATGAGCGATGAGTGGATAACATAACGCTTAAAACTTACCAACCCCATTATCTTGTAAAAACCCTTTTTTCCTATAAGAACCCACACTTGTCATAAACAAGCAATGTTTTGGTTCTTTCTTTTATTGGACTTAACGTGTCAACTGTTTCAGTGACGTCATCTGTGTCCATACGTGCCGGCGAATCCGAAATCTACTGGCACAAGAATTTAGCAAATGAGTGGGTGGGTCCGCATTTGAATCATATCGAAATGAATTTTGTGTTTTTTATTTCTGGAGTGTTCAGTTTTCTGCTTCTCTAAGCTACACAGTGAGCACAGACAGAAGAAAGAAAAAAGAGCTAAAGAGTGATCTAAAACAGAACCAATTGTAAGATTAGAGTATTCCATCACCTAGTCAGGTACTTACTTCAGTTGGTTAGTGGTTATATAACTATGGTCAGCCGGTTTAGCTATAGAAGCTGAGAATGGGACTGGGGATCCAAGATATTAGAATTCTAATTAAAGAGAAGTTTTTAAGAAATCGAAAGTTAAGTATGTATATTAAACTAAATATCATTTTTTAAACAAAAAAAAACTAAATATCATTTCATACTTTTGTATAACTAGTTTTTATAATGAAAATAACATATAAAATAATTTTAGACGTATTAATATTAACTTTTTGAAAATATTTTTTTGTTATTAAATGTTTTATAAAAAGAAGGTTTGCAGAAATAGCTTTGAGTCCCTATGGTTTAGTGACAACGAGTTTTTAAACGGAGAAAGGAGATGTATAAAACTTTCACTATTACGGAGTATTAAATTGTCCCACATCGTTAAAGTTAAAGATATCGATTTTTGGGCAATATATAAATGTATGGGCAATCATCTACTTTTGAGTATGAATTAGGCACATCACTAATATAAGGTATCACTATATCAGGAATTGGGTCATAGGAAAAATTGTTTAGCTAACGACTGAGGTAAAAGAAATTGTGCGTAGACTGTAGTCCATCGGGTAACATTATACGCTATTACCCCCAAAGAGTAATTGTGTTAGGCTGATATATAAATATGTCTAAAATTATGCAATGATGCACGTATATGAAGTTTTCATGTTTGATAAAAAAATAACTTTTCATGAATTGATTCTCTCATTCACAAGAATATTATATAATCTGACAGAATATTTCTAGGAAGGTAGGGGACGAAAAGAATATCACCATAAATGGATTACAACCAAACCAACCACAAAAGGGTTCAACAAGAATTCTCTGTATTTAAGACTTAGAGTATCCTCTTTGTCTTTCTCTTCTCCTACTCTTACATTATATAATAACGATTATTTTATTCAAATAAAGAGCAAGGCTGCTACCTATACCCAACCACCCAATGTGTTCTCCTATTGACATCACTACAAAATTATGATATACAGATATTTGATCATCAATGATAAACACACATTTTGTGAAATATCTTAAACAATGACTGGTTAATAATGACCTAAACCAGTCATGTTTTTGAGATTCTTCGAAACGTCTCCAACGGCAAGTTCAATTTGGGAGCATGTGAACTGAGATTCTTCCAAACCATTCCAGATCCTTTATGTTTTCTTCTAAATATTGGTCACAACTTGCTAGGTCATGTATTTTTATCAGATGATCTTTTTGTTGATATTATACACAATCGTAGTTATATTATTAAAATGCTAGTAGTGAAAAACAATGAAAATTGAGTCCAGAGAATAGCACGCTTGACATATTCTATTGACTTCGTTCATTGATTACACCAAAAAAAAAACTAATCGTAAGTCAATCTTTTAACTATTAGGTGTCATGAACTTCTCGTTTTGGAGGCACAACCAATTTTTTTTTAAACAATTACAAGACCCCAAAAGATATCCCCACCATTGTATTTTGCTGTATTGGCCGACGATTTATGATATAAGCGTTTTATTTAATACATTTGAGCCTCTCAACCTAAACTATCAAATCGGGAAATGCAATTACGCGTTATAGCTGATATAAATTTGAGATAACTTTTTGCCAAGTGGAAAGAAAATAATAGTAACGACGCTCGATCAATTTGCATATAATATTATAATAAACACCATTATCTTCAACTATAAATACCCTGTTAAACTTCTCCTTCATCTTCACATATCTTCTGTAACACATATCACTTGTTGAAATAGTCTTACAATAGTTACAAATAACAATATGAAGACATCTAACGTCTTGCTTATTCTGCTTGTTCAACTCATTGTCTTTTTGCCTCTCCTTTGTTTATCTGATGACTTTGTTAGCTCTAGAGCTACCTATTATGGCAGCCCCGATTGCAAAGGAAATCCTCGTACGTTTTATTTTCTTATATATTTAGTTTGTATCTTAATTAGTTCATTTTTTAAAATATTTTAAGCTGATTGGTAAAGCTATTAATAAAAGGACAATTCTATAGTCAATATTATTATTTTATATATCATATACATATAGGTTTATCCAAGCTCTCAATATATATATATATATATATATATATAAATGATTTCATTAAGTTTACATGCCTTCGAGTCGAATATGACATTTCAAGTTTAGTGATTATAATTTTCAATAATTACTGATTATGCAGGAGGAGCATGTGGGTATGGAGAATTTGGAAGAGATATCAATAATGGTGAAGTGAGTGGTGTTTCATTGAGACTATGGAACAATGGAACTGGCTGTGGTGCTTGTTACCAGGTCTTTTTATACATTATCTAATCTAATATTTTATCAATAACAGTATACTATAGTCACTAACACTATCATTACTAAACTAATACATCATTAATTGCTAATTATTAAAAGGTGAGGTGCAAAATACCTCCACACTGCAACGATGAAGGAGTATACGTAGTGGCTACGGACTACGGAGAAGGACATGGTACAGACTTCATCTTTAGCCCTAAGGCCTACGGACGTATGGCGCGCCCCGGCACAGAGAATCAGCTCTATTCATTTGGTGTTGTAGACGTTGAGTACCAGAGGGTCCCTTGTAAGTATGAAGGATACAATCTGGTGTATAAGGTCCATGAGAAAAGCTATAATCCTCATTATCTTGCCGTCCTTATCTTGTACGTTGGTGGTGTCAACGACATCCTCGCCGTTGAAGCCTGGCAGGTAAATTTGATCAAAGATTATTACAATATGCAAACTGTAACGTTTTGTAGTGTTCAAAAAAAAAACATAGTTGTAAGCAAAGTGGTTTATGAGTAAATTTGAACATTGATGATATAAATGATTCAGGAGGATTGCAAAGAGTGGAGACGTATGAGAAGAGTGTTTGGAGCGGTTCACGATTTGCAGAATCCACCAAGAGGCACTCTCACTTTGAGGTTTTTGGTCTACGGAAGCGCCGGTATCAATTGGGTCCAATCGCCAAACGCTATTCCTGCTGACTGGACCGCTGGAGCGACCTACAACTCCAACATTCAACTTACTTGATTCCCTTTTGCTGCTCGTCTCTATCTCTTTCTCTAGTGTGTTTATATACATAATATATGGTTTTGTCATGTGTAATGGCTATATACATATTTAAATAATGTCCTCTAGACATTTATATAAGTATCATGTGTTGTGTGTCTAAGATTGTGATGATTTATATAAGGTTTTGAGTAATGGAATAATCATATAGTGGTAACAAATAACTAAGGGTTTCGTTTATTCTTTTTGATACATGCAAATTTTGTGAAGTAACCGTACCACATTTACTTTGGCGAAAATTGAACTAGACAATACAAAAACCTGAATAGATCCTATTTTAAAATATTAGATCTAGACCAAACTGAAAACTGAATGATTATTTTAAACAACTAAAATTGAATATATATTAAAATATAATCAAAATACTCAAATACATATAATTTGTTTATAAAAGACCTTAGTTATATTACACCAATTATTTAGAAACTGAAATACCAAAAATCAAATGAGTTATATTTTCTTAAGTAAAAATATAAATAGAATTTAACTAAATAGTTTATTATCTTTTGGATATTTTAGTTTTGGTATTACTTTTTAGATAATTCGATTCATTTTTAGAAAATTTGAATATTTTTAATAATAAAAGTGAAAAATAAGAACCAATTTAATAATCTAAATATTCTTTTTAATCACCAAAATATCTCTATAATAGAAAATTAAATCACCCAAAAGCTGAATAAAAAAATTAGTGTTTATAGTGACTATGTTTCGATATAAGGTTTGAAGTTTCATTTTGTGGATTATAACCAACTGAAATCATAAGATCTAGAGTGAATAAGCAGAAAAAAACTGACAGAATTAATCGGTTTTTAAGCTCAGACAACAAGTATGGCCTCTAATAAAAAAATTGTCAAAAGTTTATTTTTCCTTCATATGAATTATGTAATCCATTATATTCTTGTTATTGTTTGTATTTTATATAAATTCACATTATATGAATAAATAAGTATAATTGCTAAAAAAAATTCAAATCCAGCGCAATTACACTACAGATAGGCCCATTAGTAGAGTCTTTAAGGCTCATTAAATCGAAAACGGATACGCCGTCGTATCGAAAATATGCAAAACCGCAGCTTCTTTAGTAAAGATTTAACCAAATCAGAGAAGGAGAAGAAGAAATCGATCTCCGTCGTCGTTTCTGGAGTGTCTTCTTCTTCTTCTTCTGGATTTAGGGTTTGAAGAGGAGATGCTCTAATCATCCAGCTCCTTGCAACCGCATAGTCAGTGTGTGCACAGTTCCAAACCCTCCCAAAATCAACAAAGATGCCGCAAGTTAAGATCATAGCGAAAAACTTCATGGACATGGTGGCGTCTCTCACCGCCATCAAGCTCGATAAGCTCTACAACAATGTCTTCATCTGCGAGGCCATTCTCAGGTTTCAATTTGATTAAAGAGTTTGTTACAATCTTCTAACTAACCGTAATTGATGAAGTTGAAATAATAATCATCAGGTCATTGCCACCACTCGCGAAGAAATACGTATTGCAGTTGCTTTTCACTGATGCTCCTGTAACTGCCAAGATGATGAAGGAGTGGGTGCTCCCTGATGGCGAATCTAAGCACGGTGTTGCTATTGACCGATTGATTCAACTCCGGATTTTTAATGAATCCGTTGATAGGTAGTATAATCTTAATTCTCATAAGGAAGAACAGTTTTGAAGTTTTTTATAAGGATGTTAGTGTCATTCTCTTTAAGGTTGGAAATTAACTTGAACAATCAACACTCTGAGCTTCTCCTCTTATGCTTAAGCAGTCTAGGGGTGGGCACGGATCGAATAACGCCATAATTTTCAGTATTTGTGATTTGCCTTCATATTTTACGGATATCTGAATTTCTGATTTGATTCGGAGAAATGCGGATATCTGAAGGATTTTCAGATATTTGCGAATATTTACGGATATCTCATCCACTTTGTTTAATACGAGTTAAACTAGAAAAAAACTATACAAGGTTGAAAATTAGCTTGAACAATGAACACTCTGAGCTTCTCCTCTTATGTCTAATCAATGTGTTTTGGATTTGATTATGTGGCGAAGGTGATAGTTCCAATTCGTTTTGCTTTATAGTGTTTTAAGGCTGCTCTTTTGACTTTTTTTTCAGGAAAAAGGAAACCTGTTACAGCCTAAACCCTACATTTCAGAAAAATCTTCAGAAACATATTATCTCCGGGTATAGAATTCTTTGTCTTGGTAGTAGAGTTTTTTTTTGTTTATCGAAAAAGGTGCTGATGAGGTAAGCAATGGAAAATTTGCAGTGGAGTTTTGCCTAGGGAGCCTATGAACTCCAACAATGCTATTAAGCTTCCAAGTTTACAAGAACTCGAAACCTATGCACTTCATCAATGGGAGGTGTGTCTGAAGTTTTTCTAATTTACGTATTGACAATACTAGTAAGATGGATTTTGTGTTAGTATCTGATGGTTTTTGCTTATGTTCGTCAGTGTTTTTTGCTACAACTCATAAATTCGGGTCAAGGTGAGAAGCTAACCGGTATTAGTTCGTCCATGATGAAAGTCTTCCAGCGAGGTTTATTGAGTCAGAGGTATACATGTCTATAGATGTGTAATGGTGGTTTGTATGCTGGTTATTTAATACCGTTCATGTGATTTTACAGAGATAGAGATGGCCCGAGATTAACTGAGAGTGGCTTTCAGTTTTTGGTATGCAATGCAAGACATTAGTGATTGATCTCTTATTACTTGTATTCATAAAAAGTGAACCTTATTGACCATAAAATTTCAGTTGATGGATACAAATGCTCAGCTTTGGTACATTATCCGAGAATACATATCAAATGCCGAGGTTTGTATCAAGCCTTGACAAGATCTAGTCATTTCTTTGTTTTTCTCAGTATGAGTAACCAAATGCCATTGGCCTTCAGGAGCGAGATGTAGATCCAGCAGACTTGATTTCATTTTTGTTAGAGCTCAGTTTCCACGTTACCGGTGAGGTAACAACAGATGTCATTTCAATCGATCTTGTTCTCTTGTAATACACGATTTTTAATTTGTTCATTGATCTCAAACATTCCTATACACGTTGCAGGCGTATAACTTAAATACCTTGACAGATGTTCAGAGAACTACACTTAAGGACCTTGCAGACTTGGGATTAGTCAAGCTTCAACAGGTTAGTCTTGTATTTTTCATTACTAAAAGGAGATAAAACTCTGCAACAGTTAGAAAGATTATAGAAGTATATCAGGTGCTGAACCAATCTTTATAATTATTATTATAGGGAAGGAAAGACAGTTGGTTTATTCCTACTAAGCTGGCTACAAATTTATCAGTCAGTCTTGCAGATTCATCAGTCCGAAAAGAGGTGATAGCTCTTGATTATCCTTTTTTTATCTCATTTCGACACAGTTCTCTTGATTTTGCGTTTTTGTTGTGTCTGTTATCCGTCATCAGGGATATGTCATGATGGAAACAAACTTCAGGATGTATGCTTACTCAACATCTAAGCTACAATGTGAAATTTTACGTCTGTTTGCGAGGTAGAAGCTCCTAAACACCGCTCTGAAAGTCTAGTCTTCTGTGTAATGTCATGATGCATCTAAGCAATTGCTGCACTATTTTTTTCCAGGATAGAGTACCAACTCCCAAACCTTATTGCTTGTGCAATTACAAAGGAGAGTTTGTACAATGCATTTGACAATGGCATCACATCAGACCAGGTAATAGTTGGTTTCATCTGAAAATCGTTTACACTATGCTATATTAGAACGGGACCAATTACTTTCCTTGAGATGTGTTTCTGAATATCCTTTTTCCATTTTGTTTTTGGTGGTTGCAGATTATAACTTTTCTCCAGCAGAATTCACATCCACGATGTGCCGACCGAGTCCCATCTATTCCAGAAAATGTCACTGACCAGGTCTATACTCTCTCCTCCCATCTAGTGTCAATCAGGATTGGTTTATAGCTTAAAAAAGTGTATATACTTTCCTGCAATTTCAATTCATTGGGTGCGTGTGTGCTAACGAAGATGAACTGCATTGTCTATGTCTTTGGCAGATACGGCTTTGGGAGTCAGATCTGAAGAGAATCGAGATGACTCAGGCTCACTTCTATGATGAATTTCCTTCAAAGGTAAAACCTGATTCCCTCTTTTTTTCTATACAGGTTCTCATACCTCAGCGCCATTATAGTAAATCTCAATACGTGGAACTGTGATGTTGGCAGGATGTGTTTGAAGCAGCTTGTGACTTTGCTAGACAATGGGGAGGCCTTCTTTGGGAAGACTCTAAGAGAATGCGACTTGTTGTGAAATCGGAAGTTCATAATCAGATGCGTGAGTATCTTCACACCCAAAGCAAGTAATATAAGAAATGAGAACCTCGACGACAATTTTTCGTTTCTCATGTTAAAACCAAAAAAACAAGTCATGTTTCCATCCACTTCAATATATGTTTTTGACATGATGGTATACTAATATCGACAAAACAAAACGTCTCTTTGGGATTTTGTTCAAACAGAGACTACAATCTCTCGGTCTTGTTTCTATTCAGTCAATCAAATTATTAAAATCAAACAAATGAGAGAGACTGACGATCTCAGTCTTAGTTGATAAACTAAGAGAATCTGAACCATTGGGACTTTGTTCAGAGGTCTCGGAATCTATTATGTGTCAACAAACATGAAGACAAGATCTATCTTTTACTTTGCTTGAGCTTCTTTCTCATTGGCCGCTGAATCTTGCATTTTCTCTCCCGTGTTTGCATTTCCACCAGCACGAGCGAGTCTCTCAGCTTCTTCAATTTTTCTTATGGTTTCCTCTTGTGTTGCGTTCATCATTGTCCCCATCGTTTTCTTCTCTGATTCCAGCTGAACCTCCATTATTGTACCAGCTTGCTTGTCTATCGGTTTGAAGTAGTCTTCAATCTGAGCTTCCTGTATTCGTAATGACACGAAAAAAAGTTAACTTAGCCATGGAAGCTTTCTGAAACTTGACACTTACAAAAGCAGAACAACAGGGATGAAAAAGCCTCGTGATTAAAGAAAGACACAGGAAACTGCTTTCGCTTTTTCCTTCCAAAAATCGTATGCTTTAAGAAACGTAAACACCAAGCAACCAAAAGCGTTTTCCCTTCTTTGAATGTTCTGGAACCAAAAGCACTTTAAGGACACAGTATCTCAAACATTTTGCACCAAACTTAATTTAGTAGACACATTGTCTATGTCACACAAACGATAAACTCGATGGGAGTAAAATAAAATCACTAGAAAACATTGGAGTGAGAGAATAAAGAAAAGAGAGACAAACCGTATTCTCAATCTGCTTATTCAAATTCTGCATCTGTTCAACCATACGGCGGACTTCAGATAATACAATCTTCTCTGGGAGTCTGTTTATCTCTGCTTTCCTTTCTTGGGCCTGCAAGAGCAATCATTTGAATCAGATAAAAAAAAGAGGAACCATGACCAACCCTTGCTAGAAGCTAACAGTCACAAGTATTGTTAAACAAATAAAAACACCAGAAGTCTACACAATTAGGAAAAATCAGATCTAATTTCATCACTCACTTCGACTGTACTTTACTAACAACCCAACTTTACTTTTTGCATAACAATGATCATAAACAGAGAAGTATTCAGTAAAGACTCTCCTCAGTCACTTCATTTATAGTTTCAGAATGAATAGATATATGTGTAATGTTTATAGACATGAAGTTTCTTCAAAATTCTCATCCTCTCACAGTAAGTGTTTCTTAAAGTCCAATACTACTAGGAATTAAAAAAGGGTTCTACCATTCATTCTAACGAAAATAGATAGAGTCAGCATAATGATGAACCAAGAAAAATGAGAGAGAGAAACCTGCTGAATACGTTTCTCGAGTTGCAACCTGTAATTACGGATTCTCCTTTCTTCATAACCAGAGAGCACTCTCACATAGAACATTGCTTTCCTCCCAAACTCCAACAGCCTCTTCATCTTTCTGAACAATCAAATGGATTCTGCAAATTCAAAATTCCCCAGCATTATTACCACACAGCCAAAAGATGCAACAAACAGATAACGTGGACATGATTGTTTAAAAGTTAAAACGTAGACTTGGCTGAGAAATTGAACACTAAACATGCGCATCAGTTTAATTAAAAATCTAAAAGATAATCAAAATACAGATCTGAAGATCAAACGATTCGCATCCTAGACTACGAAATGAAGGAATCATACACAAGTGAGAGTTCTATGCAACTAACTCCGATTAGGTACTAATTTACCGATCGATGTATTGAGAAACTCCGGTCAAAACTTTCCGTTACTACAATCAGTGGTGGACTCCGGCGCCGGCGGCAAGATAACACCGTCTCCGATCTCTCTCGCTTGACTCACCAAAATTTTACCCATTGCTACTATCTATCTCGCTCATAGTGGGCTCCAAATGGGCCCCTTTAATTTGTCGTGGGCTTGGCCATCCAAATGGGCCAATTTGGTTTATTTTTTTTATTTTACCAATAATTTTTTACTATGTACATTTAGTTTCAAAAAAAAAATGCATCTAGTTATACGGTAAAAATGTTGACAAAAAATAAGTTACACGGTAAACATCAATCTTTCATAAGTTTTCAAATAATAAGTAAAATCTTAAATATAGTAAGTGATAATGTGTCATTTATGCTCATTGGTCAACGGTTAATGTAGAATTTGATCAAATTTGTAAAGATTATGTATAGAATGTAGAAACTAATTTTGTAGGTAGATGACATAAACCGAACATGCTGCAACAATTGGAAGTATTGAAAATGCCATTTTCTCCAAATATTACCCCTAATATTTACTTATTTACCTTCCTTCACCCATCTAACGGCTACTAGTTGCCTAAAGCTGAAGAGTCTACGTGAGAAAAATGCGTTTTAAAGCTCCCGTGAATCAACAACACTGTTAGTTGACGAAACTACCCCTGGAAGGAGACAATTGTTACAAGATTCCCTCTTAACGGCTAGTTTTGTGATAAAAGGATCTTTCTTCATCTTCTTATTGTCTAATAAGCTGTAGACCAACGCTCCAAACCACACACTAGTCCACTCTCTCTCTCTGAGAAAAAAAATCTCTACTTTCTGATAAGACTTTTAGCGTGAATGGAGGAGTTCGAGCATATGATAGTGGAAGAGTTCAACGAAGAGGACTTCTACGAGACCATAGAAGCTCCCAAGTTTGTAGATCTCACCGCACCAGATCATCGCCCTGAAGGAGACGATCGTTACTGGTTCTGTTCCAGAGTTGGTTAGAATCTTGTTTACTCTCTCTTACATAGATCTAAAAAACAACACAATCAAGTTTGATCTGGATCCTATTCAACTGTGGTTTACTGTAGTAAATTGAAAGTTGCTAAATTAGGGTTTTTAATAAAAAAAATTAGCTTATGATTTTGATCCGTATTGACATTACTGGTGAATGATGTGTACATAGGATGTGATCAGAAACATGAAGAGTTTATGGATTCAGAAGCAATCTACAAAAACTTCGTTCTTCGAGTAAGCTGCTAAAAGCTCAAACCTTTATATTTCTTTATTTAATTAGATTCTTCAAATTTAAGAGTTTGATGTCTAATGGAACATTTTACATAGGTTATGGCTGCTAGGAGTCCAAGTGTTCGTCTTCGTAAAGCTCTTTACAGAAAGGATTTCAGGTAAAACTAATTTAACTTAAGAGGAAGAACATCACTGTTGATGATGTGTGTGTGTTTAAAATATTACTCTACATGGTTCTTTTTTATTACAGTGATGTTCCAAAATGTCCCAACACGGTTCCTGCAAAGCCTTCAAGGTCACGTGTTTCTAGATTGGCTATGATCTCATCTATTCCTCACAAGGGTAATAAAGCAATTCCCACAAAGAAAGATGCAACTCCAAAGGCGAAAGATAAAAGAAGAGAGTTAGACTCCAAACCAGTTCCTCAGAAAGCATTAACTGAGAGGAAGAAGAAGAAGGAAGTGCAGAGTCCAGCAGGTTTCAGGAGTGTGCAGCATCCGAGAACTGCAGTAACTAGAGCGGGGGAAAGCAGAGTTGTTGCAAAGGCTTTGGTGTTTGGTTCTCCAAAGAAGCTGGTGAGATTGAAGAGATCTGTGGAGCTTAGTTCCTCGGTTAAGAAGTTGTGTAGTGGGATGAGGAAGCTTGAGATTGAAAGCAAAAGAAAGAGGAAAGAGGTTAATGAGAAGGTTGGGACTTCAACTACTCCATCTAAGAAACTATTAAGGACACGAGAGGTGAAGAGCCGAGTGTTTGATTCAGTTCTGTCACGGAAGAAACAGATTGGTGAAAAGGTTAAAGGTTCTTCTGGTACTTTGAAAAAGAGGGTCAAAGAAAAGAAAGAGCCTGTGCTTACCTCTGATCTTACCAAAGCTCATGAAGCTAAGACTAAGGAAAACAAATTAGAAGAATTGTCAGAGACATTGAAAGCTAACAAGTACAATTTACTCCAGGCAAGAGAAGACCCTGCTGTAATAAAGGAGAGTGGAGTGGATAAAGCAAAGGAAAATGGATTAGCTTTGGACTGTGATGACAAAGAGAATGCTACTATTGCAGTGGATGTCCTTAGAGAAGATACTTGTGTATCAAAGGAGAATAAACCGGATGAGACTACGGAGATTGAAGACAAGGAAAACGCATTAGCATTAGATGGTGGCGACAAAGAAAATGTTACTAATGCAGCGGATGTTGATGCAGAAAATGATGACAAGGAAAATGCTTCAGCCTTGGACAATAACAGGTTTGAAAAAATGGTGTTTATTTTTGCTTTACTTTTTGATCCTATCTGCTCACAAACCTCACCAGATACATACTTGTTTTTGTCTAAATCTTGCAGGAAAGTTGACCAATCCCCCAACCCTCTCTCGAGAAAGAAAGTCTTTGGTAGGAAAGAAACTTGCAAAACCACTCAAAAGGTATCAAAGTTTCTACTTTTTGTTAAGATCTTCTCATTTGTATATTATGTGTTGCTAATGTGCTTTCTACTGAACCAGGCGATGGCAATAGCAGATAAGTGTTTCAATGGCAAGACTGTTTCTACTAATCCCACTGTCAAGTATACAAAACCTAAGCTCACGAATCCAAAGCCTTTCCGTCTAAGAACCGATGTATGATAAAACAACCAAAGAGATTTGTTCTTTAACTTCTTTAACAACTCTGTTTAGTTTTCTGCTTTTTTCTGATGGAAGAATATTTACATGATTCCAGGAAAGAAGAATCCTCAAGGAAGCAAACGCAGAGAAGAAACCACGGTGTGATCTTGCCAAAGAAGAGGAAACTACAAACATTCTTGGGGTTCATGCTGAAAACATTGGTCCAAAACATCAGCCAGTTAGAGTAAGTTCTTTCTGAAACATTTAAAATTTTAACCATATCTATGTCTGTTTTTTGTGTGACATACTAATTTCAATAGCAGCTGGAGAAGAACACAACTTCCAGGTTAAAAGCTTCTAGAGGAACATCCACAACACTTGTTGGACACGATGCCTCTGAAGCTATGGTGAATTCCAAGAGGTAGAGAATCTGATTTATCAGTAATTACTGAGATAGTCTTTTCACTTGAGCGCGCAAGCATGTTCTAACTTGTTAACAACAGTTGCTTCTCTTTTAGCCTTTAACTTGCAATAGTGTGCATTTCTTCAGGGCTGCATCAGGTACAAAGAAGAAAGTGGCAAGTAGAAGAGATGTAACCAAGGAGGAAACCTCGCTGATGAATGGAAATGGAGAAACCAAGGAAACTGCAATCATCATCAACAGACCTTCTGTTTGTGCTGTTGCTTCAGGGGAGAAAAGACATTTAACTGTCCCTAAAGGACCAAGCTTCCATAGCATTCACGTACCTAAGAGCTGCACAATGAGAGTAACATCACATGTCTGAAATCTTTGGTTTTATTCACACGAGAGTCTTGTAAGTTGGTTTGATCTTTGAGATGTAACAGAAGTGAGATTGTTGTAGTGTGTATAAAACATTATTACTCATTTTTCAATAGCATTCACGTACCTAAGAGCTGCACAATGAGAGTAACATCACATGTTATAGAATGAATAACACTGAATTTTAAAATAGAATTTAGAATCATCAATTGAATAATAGTGGATTGTGTTTAGATTTAAACTATTTTAAAATACAAGATTGAATAACACCATCTTAGTTTTACGTACAAATAGACGTTAATATAAAAATTTACCAAAGATCTCTCATAAGAGTTTTGGTCTACAAATGTTTTCTGGAGATTCTACTCCATAAATGACAAAGAGTTGTTTACCATCATCATGTTTTTCTGAGAAATGTTAAGAATTTTTGATATATTCAAATCTCGATTTTTAATTTTTAATGTGCATCCCCTTTTGCTTATAAGACACAAACGGAGAGCATATTTGTGTGTTAGTTTACGTGTAGTCTTTTTAAAAAGTTCTGACGAATCGATAACTTTTCTGAATAAAAAAGTTTTGATGAAGAAGAAGATCTTGAGGAAGTTACTGGAACTGAAAATCAACCAACAGAATATGCCAATCAAGTGAGAACGGCAATAATAACAAGTATGTGAGAGATTTTATATTATCATAATAACATAAGACATAAAAAATGATAAACCATATGTTGTAGTTTTATATATATTTTCTTTTGTTACAAAGCTGCGTTTATCACAAATCCATTTCGTTGATTTCTAATAATTCAATTATATTGATTTTGAAATCTATTTCATTGATTCTGAAATCTACGTATTTGATTCTAAAATGTGTGGATTTATCAAAAATTTCAAAATCCAAAAAGGATTTCTAAATATATAAAATCCTAAAACCAATAACCCCCACTTAGTTGCCTCTATGAAAGAGTGACGTCATTTAGTTGGTCTGAAATTTTAGATCTTAAGGATCTTAAACTATAATATATAAATGATTATACAAGTGCATATGTTATTATTACACATAAAGTAAGTATGAAAACAGAGAGTGAGCAGCTAGGGTATTACATGAAACATATATTGTACATAGATTCATCTATGATATTAGCAATTGTTTTGATATAATATGATTCACTGTCTTTTTGTTCTGTTTCATGAATGATTATTTCAATTTGGTAAAATTTCTCGAGAAGAAGATTGGCAGGCAAAAAGTAAGACTCCTGATAATATGATCAGCCCAGGAAGGATACATACAAGCTTTATGAAACTTGGATTTATATCACATGGAAAACTGTTGAGATTTTATGAATTAATAGGCATGACTAGTGATGCTGAGAGGTTGTTCAATCATCAATGAGTGTCATATCTCTAATACTAGTGGTATAGCGGTATGGAATGCAACAATAGCTACTATAGGTCTTGGAAGTAAAGATGATCTTATATCATGTTTTATGATATTCCTAGAGAGCTGGTCAATATAGAGACACCACATTAGAATGAAATGGTTCTTTGTAGTCATGCTTAGGAAACTAATTGTGCCAACTATATTCTCGGTAAGATCTTCAAAATGCTGTCAATAGAACCAATGATCCATCATATTAGAATTTACAGTGATTCATTGGCAAGGATGAAACAACTTGATGATGTAGTTAGAGAGATCGAATGTTTGATCTACACACCCAATTGATAAATTATAGCGAATATATTGGATCGCTCTTTACTAAAGGAAAACGCCTACTTGGCTAATGAGTTTGTGAATGACCCAGACCAAAGAGAAATTTCATACCGAGTTCACAAAATTTTGTATGAGAATCTTACCAAAGCAGGTATCGTGTGGAGTTGGTGCATCCTCAGTGCATTAACTCTAGGAACAACAAAATTGAGTTTATCTTGGTTTGGATATCGAAGGCTACAAATGGTGATCTTGGATTGTGTGTGCATCTTAAGAGAAACTACATACTTATTATCACATGATTAATACTTTGTTTCTTTTGCTGTTGACATTTGTTGCTATAACTCTAGTTGTTGGCTTGTTTAAGTTCATTGATGCAGCAAGCGAGATTGAGTTTCAATTCTAGATGTGTCGGTTACAAATGAATTTTATTTTAGAATATTCATGTCTATTCTTAGTGCATTGAAAATCTGCATCATTGCATCTAGATGATTAGCATTAGTGTCCAATAAAATCTTGCAACAAAAGTTAAAACAATCAAAGTTTATCCAACCAATTTTTTTAAACAAAAATGTAGATGGTAAGCAATTTTTGTTTCTTTATACTATGAAACGTGTGAAAACAAGAAATATGATTTTCTTAAATATAAAATATGTTCACCTAGAGAAAAGAAAACATAATCAAATTAAGAGAAAAAACCATTTTTATGAGATGAAGGACTACAACCTAGGTTAAGAGCATTTAGCTCTAATACCAAAATGATATAAACTTAGAATCCACCAAAGCTTTTACTAAACAAGTGTCAAACTTAAAGCTTCAATGGTTAATGACTGATGATAAATGATGACAATCAATTGGTTTATGGCTGAACCAAGTTGATCAATGGACAGAAACTAGCCCATGGGCTCTTTTTCGCAAAAGCTATTTTCTAATCCCATGAACAAAAGCACTTTGATTCCCACAAACTAGCTAAATTTGAAAACACAAGAATTCAAGATTTTTTTTTTGAAAACAAAGACTTAAATTTATTTCTGAAAATGTGTCTTACAATGGTAAATAAAGAGGTCTTTTATATCTTGGGACAATGTTCTTAGACATAAATGCAGAGCGAGAAAAAAACATGGAAAAGAGATTGCAATAAAGAATAAAATAAGCAAAGAATGTGATCTTAGGTGATGATGAAGCTTGGTAGATGAAGTGCATCCATGTGCTGAAAATAAAATTCGGAACATCAAATTGCGGGTGAAAAATCGGACCTTGAATTAGATTTTACTCGAAATTAAAAAATTAAAAAAATGGAGCAAAAAATAACTAAAATTTTTAAAATCAAATATAGAACCGTTAGTATCCGAAAGAAATATGTTTTCAGTTTAGATATCTGAACCAACACGGACCTGGTAAAAACCGACCTAAAACTAAATCGAAAAACTCCCAACTATTTATTGGATCCAATTTTTCTAAATCCACCCGACGACATGAACCGACCGAACCCGACCGACATTTGTGGTTGCACCCCATACTCATTTTATTTGTCTCTTATGAGCAGGCCCTGGGCCTATGCCTCTCTTGCCACCCATCAGGCCTGCTCACAAGTGAATTCTCCTCCCATAATAATGTTTAACCAAAACACGCCTTTGAGCTCCTGAGTGGCCCACAAACCAGAGTATAGGCTCAATTTAAATGGGCCTGTGCTCCATAAATCCATAATTTTCAGCGGGTCGAAGGTAGATAGATGAGCGGGCGCCATTCAAAAGATAAAAATGAGCGGTCAGTAGCGGGAACATTTTTCAAGCTACAAAAATACTCAAAAACAACGTCACACGCTCCTCACGTGCCATCATCCCGCCCTTTCTTCCTCCATTTTCCCCCAAATCTCAAATTCTCAAATCCCTACCTCTCTCCCTCCCCCAGATTCACAGCAACTCGACAATGTCAGAAGATCCGAGTCAACTCGGAAGAAACTCTACACCCGCCGGGGGAGAGCTAATAGCTCTCGGACTCACCGATTCAGACGGCCACGAAGAGCATCTCTACCACCACCAACAAGCCTCGGAGCTATGCCGTTACATACTTAACCTTGGCCACTCAGAATCCGTTACGCATCTTTCTTTACACTTGCAAGCTTCCTCTGAGCTCGTCAAGTTACTTTGCTCGATCCGTAACTCCCCTATCTCCCTGACGGAAGACGGCTTGTTCGTGACTCTCTCGTCAGAGTTTCTCTCCGATCCGGCTAGCTTCGCGTCTGGTTTGGGTGTGCCGGAGAACGATCTGTGTGAGATGATTACGCGTTTCACGGATTCGATGTCTCCCAAGCGTACGAGAGGTAATTTTTCATTTTTAGTCAATAATCATTTTGGCTTTGGGTTTAATATTCAATTTAACACTCAGAAAACGAGGAGGAGGAAGAAGAGATACAGCTCATGCCGTTGCCGAAACGAAGCCGAAACGATGAGAGCAATGTAAGTTAATAATCTCTTAATAAAAAGATGAAAGTTCTAACAGTATTACTTAATTTCATAATTGGATGATTGATTGATTTTGTGATTAATTTTTTTTTTTTAATTCTAGGCGAGTTACAGAGCTAGCGAGATTACAACTATTGTGAATGGTTCCATGCTTGAGACTCTTAAAGCTTTCGAGTCCCAAGCTTTGAGTTTGGCATTTGATCAAAATCCTTGGTCTGGTGGTTGCGAGATGTTCACCGATTTTCCAGTTGATTGTTTGGAGGAGAGCAAGCAAGATTCGCCGTTTCCTGGAGAGGTTGGATACGGTAACCATCTTGAGATTGGAGATTTTCAAATTGTTGACAATCTTAGTTTAATCGAAGAAGAAGAAGAAGACGAGGATAAGGATAATGACGAGGATTTGTTACCTGAGGGGGAGATACAAACTCCCAATGTGCAGCCTGAACCGGTTGCCTCTTCTGAAAATGAGTTGAGATCAGTGTACGTTGTGGAGGATACTGAAGATAAGCTTGCCTTGAGTTGTAACCCAACGAAGCAAGCGGACCAGGCTGTAGAGATCTTTACTACCCCTGTCAAAGAGATACCGCTGAAGCCTTCTGCTACTCCGGTTAATCATGATAGTTCGTTGGTACAGAAAACTCAGGATGTGTGCAAGATTTCTGGAAACAGCAAAGGATATAGCTGTTCTCCTGAGAAAGTATACACCAGGAAAAGTAAAGCTATTCAGAAGGCGAAACAGAATTTTAACTCTGTTCGACCTAAAGAGCAGAAGGTAGACATGTCTCTTTGAGTGATGCCCTTGCAATTCCAACTTTTTCTGAGTATGCGTTGGGAACAGACTTTTAGTTTAATGTAGTGTATTAATGGTTCTCGTATTTGTGGTTTTAGGATCAGTCAAGACAGATCCAGTTTCCGGATTTTGATTCTTATACTGTTGTAGAGGAAGAAGGCGCAGGTATTTATTTCCTGACTATGTCATCTATAGTCCTCACTCTGTTCTAAGTTGAAACAACTTACTTGGTTATTGGCTAATCACTGGTGAAACTGAACTGTAGGTGGATACGGGATTGTTTATAAGGCTAGGAGGAAAACAGATGGAAAAGAGTTTGCCATTAAATGTAAGCGAAAAAATGATATATTGCTAGATTTTGTCACTGCAGAAAATTGTTTTTGGTTTGAAAACTTGACTCATGTATTGTTTTACACAGATCCACATGCTGGTGCTCAGAAACACTATATTATTAATGAAATCAGAACGCTGGAGCGTTTTGGGTAAGTAACTTAAGTATGATACTGTTATGGACGTCTTAATATTTTTAACCTTAATATCTGAGATCGCCTAAATTTGGTTCACTTAGGGGGAAGAATTTTATAATCAAATATGAAGGCTGTCTCAAGAACGGAGATTCCGAATGCATCATCCTTGAGCACGTGGAACATGACAGACCTGATCTTTTGAAAAGGGAAATAGATGTGTATCAGCTACAGCTGTACGGCTACTGCATGTTCAAAGCTCTGTCAAGTCTTCATAAGCAGGTAATGAAGATTTAGGACTAAATTGTTTGGTCAATCATTTTTAAATCACGCTACTAACTGATTCTATTGTTTTTATTCTGCAAATATGAAGGGTGTTATTCACAGGGATGTTAAGCCAGGCAACTTCCTTTTCTCTAGGAAGAGCAGAGAAGGCTATCTCATTGACTTTAACCTCGCAACGGTTAGCAATTCTATGACACCCTTCTCTTACCAATACTTTTCTAGCGACATCTATTTGTTAGTGTTTCATATAAAACAAAAACGAACCTGCTTATTTATTACTAAGGTTAGTGTATCACACAGAGGCACTGAAAAGCTTGGCTAGCATAGATATTTGTGTTATGTTCCCACCTCTGATATTAATCTCATGTTTTCCTTTGTGGCTTCATTAGGATTTGCACCAGAAGCACAGGAGAGCGGGTACTCTTCTCCCCTCATGCATTTAGGCGTAATTAAGTAAAACAAATGGAAACTAAAACTATCTCGTATATGTTTTGTAGATAAATCAAAAGTAGCTACAGTTCTCCCAACTGCCAGCAAGAGGCATCAGGCATTGATTAACGCTCCTGACACAACAAACCGAGCGAGCAACAAATCTTCTCAGAAAACTCTGGCGCCTAATAGCCTGAAGAAAGCAGCGGGAAAGATAAGATCTCGGAATGACATGAGCAGATGGGATAGATTCAATAGTCAAGGGGGAGAAGGTTCTGGCTTAACTTCTGCCAAAGATGTGACCAGCACAAGGAACAACCCTTCAGGTGAAAAGAGGAGAGAGCCGTTGCCATGCCATGGAAGGAAAGAGCTTTTAAACTTTCTTCAGGAGACAATGTCTGGTCCAGTTCCAAACCATGAAGTATCATCCAAAGCTCCTACGTCTATGAGAAAACGTGTCGCTGCTCTTCCAGAGAAAAATGATGGGCTTGTTTATCTAACCCCAATGCCGCTGCGTTCTAACGGTAGGCCTGAAGCAGGTAAATTTATTGTATAATCGTTAACTCTTGTTTTGATCAGAGATTAGCTTAAACCGTTACTAAAAAAAATTGCTGACTTTACTAGGGGATGTAATTAAAAAGAAAGACGGTCCTTGCTCAGGAACCAAAGGCTTCCGTGCTCCAGAGGTACATTAACTTAGCTATCTCTGACTTGCGTTAAAGTTTTGCTTATATGTCAAAAAATGCAAGTGGGTTTCCAAATTACTAGTGAATACCATATATGAATATTGAGCGCTGAGCTACTCATTAGAACATCTTAGATGGGAACGCTAATTATCTGGGTCTATGCTTGGCTGAATTGGCTTGTGCAGGTTTGCTTAAGATCGTTACACCAAGGACCTAAGATAGACGTGTGGTCTGCAGGAGTGACTTTGTTATACCTAATGATGGGAAGAGCACCTTTCACTGGTGACCCTGAACAGTTAATATTTTTATTTGACTGAATCTGCTATCACATTTCATTACATTCATTTTTTTTTCTAGCCTTCTTACAATGCCCTCGTGATTCTCAGGAACATTAAGGATATTGCGAAATTACGAGGCAGTGAAGAATTATGGGAAGTCGCCAAGCTGCACAACCGTGAATCTTCTTTCCCTGAGGTAACAATCGCATCTTATCACCTTTCTTTACACCTCTATTCATTCCACATTTGTGTGGCATTATATGGCTATACACATTCTCTGCTCTTAAGACTAGAGAAACTTGTCCTCAAGATTGGGCATATTCTTATTAAGTCTAGAGAAAGACAAGGTCGATATGGCTTATACTTATGTTCTGTTCTTATTTACCGCGAGCATTTGGCCCCTTCATTTTGCGTTCTATTGTCTTTATCTGATATTGTATATACATAGATGATGGTCGCAAGAGATGATGAGATGTACAAGTTTGTGTGTTTGTATTTTATTTTTCAGGAATTGTATGAGTCAAGGTACTTGAAAGGGATGGAGTTGAGAAGATGGTGCGAAATCAACACAAAACGCAGAGACTTCCTAGACGTGATTCCACCGTCGCTGCTTGACCTTGTTGATAAATGTTTGACTGTTAACCCAAGGCTACGAATCAGCGCGGAAGATGCTCTGAAGCATGAGTTCTTCCACTCAATTCATGAAACCCTTAGAAAACAAAGAGTCTTAAAGCAGCAGCAGCAAACGCAATCGCATCCTTCAGTGGTTGCTGACGCAGTAGGCCAACCGCTGCACTAATATATTACAGATGTAGAGTAGAATAGTAACTAGACACCTTGTTTTTGACTTCTTTTTCTCTCCACAGTCCACACCACAACACACATTGCATGACAGGCAAATTTAGTAACGTTATAAGTTTATTGACTCAAATGTAGTTCTAAACAAGTAAAGGGTAGAGTTTTCAGACTGTATAGAAGTTGTCATAGCACTACAATGATTTGTAACTCATGTTTGTATTTCAGAGCAGTTCTTATTCATGCCACATGTATTTCTTTTGCTATTACAAACAAAAACGTGTCCTTATTCACTGCAAAGAATCGGAGCATCACTCTTTCGGTCTTGAATGTCTCTGCATCACAGTACGAAGACAGTGACAAGGAGATTGGGAGAAGCAAGAAGCTGCAAGTCTCTTTGCAACTACTGATTCTTTCTTACAAATGCAATGAATAAATCAGATTTTGGGCAGGAAAAACGTATATCACAAATTCACAAAAAGAATTCAACAACAAGAAGAAGAAAAGTGTGGCAACTAGTTTTTAAATAGCAATACCATCTTCAACAGCAGTAACATCTGGATCATTGTTTCCATGACGTTTCCTACACTCACAGTAAAAAACAGTGACTACAACATAACTCACCACCACCTCAACACCATACATACACACCAGTCTCCACCCTTCCCACCCACCAGACAAAACCACAGACCTCCACCACGACCCTGAGCTCGAGTCTACATCCAACTCCTTCGCCAGCTTCTCCATCCCATGACCAATCAAACTCGATAAAAACACAAACACACCCGCCAAAGCCAACCCCGTTATCCTCCTCCCTTTCATCAACGCCGTTCCTTCCTTAATCGCATCAAAACCGTATCTCTCTTCTATCACAGAGACCACAAGACCAAGCCCTGTTATAGCCATGATGTATACCTCAATGCCAAGACTAAGAAATGTGATGAAATGACGCAGTGCGGGTGTGTAACCGAAGATGGCAGTTAAAAACATGGGAACTGGTGAGTATAGCAAAAGCAGACCGTAGACAACAATGGAAGTTGCTGTTACTCTCATCCACGAGGACTTCACCGAAGCAAATGACGACTTCAGAGATGGGTTTACCCCCTGGTGTGAGAAGGAAGTTGATGTGATAACCGTTATGGAGACGATACAGGAGAGGATGAAGGATGGGACGAAGTACCGAGATTTAAGATGTAGAAGAGAGACAGCGTCTTGTCTAGACTCTTCCCATATCTGTCTAGCTTCAAACCGTGTGTGGACAATGTTGGCTAAGGCTTCTAAGCGGAAGACATGGTTTTTGAGACGAAATGAGGTGAGAGTTAAGGAGAGATGCAGTGCCGAGAGAGGGATGGCTATAAAGACAAAGATTGGGAGTAAAATGTGTTTGTTTCTGAAGAGAATCATCAAGGAATCAAGGAGTGTTGTGGTGATCCTTGTGGAAGAACCAAGTCGCTTTACTTCAATCATGATTCCGAAAGGCGCATAAGAACTCTATTGGGACAACTTAAAAGTCAAAACTAGAGAATGTCTTGTATGAGTCCTGTGGAAAAAAAACAATGAAAGCTCAAAACTTTTAGTAACTCAGAGAATACATACAAGAGAAAGGCATCATCTTATCTGAAAAAATCTCATTTTTTTTTCTCAGGGGGTCATATGAAAAGAATGAAACTTTTAGTGATTATTACAAAAACAGGAACTCAAAACAAGGTTTGGTCCAAACAAACCAAAGCCCAGAGATCAGACATAGTTAATCAAATTAGAACTATGTTCCGTTTCCTAAACATCAATCTCTAATCAAATTCGATTCTCGATCTACCATCTTGACGGCTGGATCCTAACTCTTACAATAGAATAGCATCCAACATTAGGTTCAATTACTTTTACTTAAATTACGATGTGATTTGAGATTGAAACAAACCTGAGCGATGCGAAAACACCAATTGGTGCAAGGAGAAAATCGAAGGAGCTTGGTTGGAAGGATAATGATTCATTGAATAATTGAGAGACAGAACAAGTCAATAAGCATTGTGTTTTTTTTTTTTAACTCACTCTTACATGCAACTCATTAACAGTTTTTTTTTTTAATTTGTTTTGGATCTCAAACTATTATTTTTTATCAAACAGATCCCAGTTTAATTTAGGATGCTATTATAATGCCTAGTTGTATTAATCTTGTTATTTATACGTTTTATTAGTGAATAATTAAACTGAAATTACAGTACACATATATGTTTTACATTGTAGATTAAACTGAAACAGATATTTGTTTAGACAATTAGAATGGTGATTACTGATTAGTGATAACTAGTTTATCATCAATAAGTAATGTTGTTTTTCTTCTTGTTAATGGAGTTTTGTTGTTGACATAGTATATTACATACTTGAAATTTCACATTTATAACAATGTTGTTGAATCAAAGACTATACATAAGTGAAAGTTTAGTTTGTCTGAAAAAGAAAGAGAAAAAAAATTAAAGGACTATGTGTGTGTAAAGAAAAAATCATTTGCCTGGCTGGCCCCATATCATTGGAGTCTTGACAGTAAAAAGATCATTCCCATGAAAACAAAGTAACAACATATTTGCTTCTTCCCCCTCAAATCAACTCCTTTAAGCTTCCAGATCCATCACTGGTTTAATATTGCTACTATATGAACAAATCAAAACCAGATTATACCAAAGATTTATAGAGAGACTGAATCTATGGATGAAACCATTAACCAAACCATGATTGGTTTATTCAATTTCTAAGTTTACCTGAATGAGAAAAGAGCCAGAGGATAATAACACATAGCAGAAGAACGAGAGGAATGAAATGGATGACGCTTTCTTCAGATCTCAACCTTGACTTCTCTCTCTTCCCCGCTTCAGAACTCGGGTCATACCTTGGCAAAAGCATCTCCACATCATCATCTTCAATAGCTGCAACACTCTGAGATCGAGGAGGAGACGGTGACGGCGTTGAAAACTGATCAGAAACTCTTGAGCCACTCGCTGATCTACGCATCCCTTCCCTTCCTTCCTTAAACGCAACTTGTCAAAGTCAATGGTCCAAAACTTTATTCACACACTAACGTATTTAAAAAAACTGTCGTGACGTCACATTTGACCAATAGAGAAGAGTCAAAACTCTTGTCTTTTTGTTTTTACCAGTAACCGCCACAAGAGCAAGACCCATCTTTGAAATGATGAAACCTTGTCGTGTCTCTTACTATGATCTCTCGTCTCTCTATCTCCGACATAAATTTAATTGCTTTATGACAATCACCACATATCCTCAAATTCTTGAACACTTGTATCCGTGAGCCTTCAGGGAGCTTTAAACACCCATAAGCAACGGCTAACTTCTCGCTATGCCATAACAACATCTTCTCCTTCTGCTCTTCCTCTACATCGTGTAACGCAAACTCTAGCTCAGGTTTGTATCCAGCTACTCTCATCTTCTTCTCCATCTCCTTCAGTTTCTTGTGTATCAAGTCTAGCTCCGGATGAATCCTATCGCTTGACCTGAAATGGTGTATCTTGTTTTTAATCTCGATCCAACTATATCCAGGTACCTTCACAACGTTGCTCTGCTTCATTCTCTTGCGAATTTTTGCAACGTCTTCCCAACGGTTTCTTGAAGCGTAGAGATTCGCAAGCTGCACATACCCTGCTGCATTACTCGGGTCAAGCTCGAGTAACTTCTCAGCTGCGAGTTCACCCAATTCAACATTCTTGTGCACCCTACAAGCCCCCAAGAGCGTCCCAAAGACCGCAGCGTGCGGCTTAAACGGCATTGATCTTATCAGCTCCAACGCCTCCTCCAGCTTCCCAGCTCGTCCCAAAAGATCAACCATACAAGTGTAGTGATCAGGCCTTGGTTCCACACTGTAATCTCTCACCATCGAATCAAAATACTCCATGCCAGTATCTACCAGTCCAGCATGATTACAAGCAAGTAAAACCGCCACAAACGTTATCCAATCCGGTCTGATCTTCTTAACTCTCATCTCACTGAACAAGGACAAAGCCTCTTCAGCTCTACCGTGCTGTGCGTAACCCGAGATCATCGCATTCCACGCCACAACGTCTCTCATCTCCATCCCTTGAAAGAGTCTCCAAGCATCACCAACCTCTCCACATTTGCAGTACATACTGACCAGAGACGTCAACGCGGTTACGTCGTTACATAATGTAGATGATTTAGACACTATCTGATGAACTTGCCTCCCAAACCGTAAGGCCGATAACTCGCTGCATCCGAGCAGCACGCTGCTCAGTCCAGACGAGTTAGGCCTAGTGCCTTCCTCTAGCATTGCTCTGAAAAGCTTCAATCCATCTTCTGCACGAGTGTTTTCGATGTAACCAGAGATCATAGCATTCCAAGTTACGAGATTCTTCTTCACAGTCATGTCTTTGAACACTGCCTCAGCTAATTCAACTTTCTTGGCCTTCATGTACCCTGTGATCATCGCCGTCCACGCCACCACGCCTCTAACCGGAGCCCTTTTGAAGAAACTTGACGCCATTTCTAAATCTCCACATTCTACATAACCAGAGATCATTGCATTCCAAGAAACTTCATTCTTCTCCGTCGTCATGGAGTAGAACAGTTCCCGCGCTTTTTCCATCTCTTTTCTCCTTGCGTACCCTGTGATCATCGTGTTCCATGACGCAGAGTCCTTGAACGGAGCCTTGTCGAAGAAGCTTTGAGCCTTCTCGAAGTTTCCGCTGCGAATGTAGCAAGATAACATGATGTTGTAGGAGAAAGTATCTGGTTGAGGTATTTCGACGAACAGTTGGTGTGCTTCCTTTATTCTATTTGGATCTTTACAGAACCCAACGAGAAGAGAGTTCCATGTTACAGTGTTCTTAGCTCTCATCCCGTGAAACACTCTGAGAGCTCCATCTATATCTCCAGAACGTACATGTCTTGCAATGATCTTGTTCATCGGGAAGATCTGGTTTTGATCAGAGGAAGGTTTAGTCGTCGTTGGAAGAGAGGAAGACGAACATGATCCCACCAAAATGGCATCTGGGTTACCAATGGAACGAGAAAAGAATCGAACTTTCCATGGCTGATGAATGTTGAAGCGAGAAAACATTTGTTATGCGTTATGACATAACAGGACAAACTAATCGGTACAAAACATCAAGAACCTCTTGTTTCCACGATTGTTTTGATAATATTTTAAACACAACAAATATACCATTAGAAGAATCTTAAATCACACGACTTCTATTAACTTTTGATCATTATTAACACTTTGTCTATTTCAGTTTTTGTAACAACGAAGAACTTTTATTAACTCAAAACAGGTAACATTAGACTTCTCTGTCTGAAACAGGTAACATAAACGACTATAAGAAGTGGTAAACTAAAAAAGAGTAATGTTTGACAAGTAAAAAAAAAAAAAGGCATAAGTTTGCAGAAAATCTAAAACTGACGACAACTAAAACATTTACACCTGAGTTTACCACGTGAACCATCGCATGAATTCATTCACTAGTTTCACACGTGTTCATGGATGGATCTTTTACTTGCCCCCAAGAGATGGGAACTGAGCAGTATCCGCAATGGCAAGCGCAGCTTCACTACGGTTACCACTAAATCCACCACTTGAAACACGACCTTCACGGTCACGATCACCTCGTCCACGGCCACCACCACGTCCTCCTCGGTAGTAGTTCTCACCCTCTGCTGGTTTCAGAAACTCATTGATACTCACAACCTGAGAAAACACATCCGTAAGCAAAAACTTATTGATTTATACAAAACTGTTTGATTCGGACAAATATGTAAAACCTTCTTAGCCTTCTCTTCTTTGTCATCTTTGCGTTTGTCCTTATCAGAACCCTGAGAAATAAATCAAAATCAAAGGGTTTAGACTGCTTCTATTCGACAATGAAGAAACAATACAAGATATATGTCTTACCAACTTGATGAAGATCTCATCGTCAGACTTCTTCTTGTTTGAGAGTTGTTGCATTGATTCAAACACTTTAGTATCAACTTTCCTCTCGGAGATGTTCTGAGATTGAAGAGCTTTTCTCTTCTCCTCAAGTATTTTCTCATACTCATCCAGAGTCATTTCCTAGAGGAACAACAAACCAGTAAAGAATAAAAAGCCAAGACAAGTATAAGTTGTGTTCCATGTCTTACTATATCAAGAAGCTAGTAAGTAAATTTGTAAATAACAACCTAACATCTCTCTTAATTCTTCTGCTTACCTTAACCTCTAGCTCTTTCTGCTCCTCAACTTCAGCAGTGTTCTCCTTGTTAGCATCATCTTTCTCAGTTTCAACCCCAGCTACTTCTTCATTCTCTCTTAAAGAGACAAAGAGCTTATTTTCAGTCACAAATCACATAAAACAATCAATCTATGACAAATGCTTACACAACAAGAACTTCTTCCCCTGGAGTTCCCCAGTTTCCACGTCCAGCTCCTTCACGTTTGAAGTCACCCCTAACCAACACCATAAACTTAATTTGGAATATGCAACAGAACAACAACAAAGATTGAATGAGAGTAAGGCAGACATACCCTCTGCCAGTTCCACTATGACGCTCAAATGCCCTTCGAGGACGTTCACCTTCACCAGCTTCACCACGTCGACCACCACGAGGAGCACCTCCATATCCTCCACCACCACCACGTCTCTCATAAGAAGACTTTGAAACATCCCCTTCCTCAGAAGGCTTACTATATCCCCCTGAATACCCATTGTTACCTCCGGAACCATCACCGCCTCTAAAATCACGGTTGTAACCACCACGGCCACGTCCACCGCCACGTGGAGCATCACTCCTAACCTCTCTCACTAATCAAGAACATAAAAAAAAAAACCAAATCAGATACCAAATACAAAAACTCCAAACAGAACATGATTTGGTAATCGAGAGTTAGGATCTGACCAGCTTGAGAAGGCTTTGATGGAGGAGCTGACTTAGCAGGCAAGCCTGAAACAGGTGCAGGCTTCTTGGACTTATCAGCAGCCATGGAGACGGCGAGCTGGCTAGGATCCTCAGCATCGTCACCCAAAAGATCAAAAGGGTTCAAAGTTGCCATTTCTTAAATTAAATACAAAGTTATTACAATACTATCAAACAGACACAAACACAACTAGTAATAACTAAGTGAAGCCATGGATTAATAGATCTAAAGAAGATTGATGAAAGTGTCGGAACGAAGGTGACGAGGATAATGGATATATTAGGATAGGAACTGTGACCGAACAGCCAAAACCTAGTCACTAGATATGATTAAGTCTTCTGTCTGATACCAAACAAAAAAAACTCACATTCTTGACGCATGTGTTATTTATTTTATGGCCCATTTTAGTATTGTTTGGTTTTTCTTGGCCCGTTGTCCAAAAAAAAAAAAAGGTTTTCTTGGCCCATTTTTAGTATTATTTTGCAATTACTTCAACATAAAAATATTCATTCACAACCAAAAATGTACAATAAATTATGTTATTACTAGGGGTCTAGCTATCATATCTTAAATTTTAAATATAAATTACTAAAAAGGGTAATCTGTAATAATGTTTTATGAAAAAGGAAAATAGTACGAACCAGTTTTTGAATTATGAAAACAAATTAGTTACTATAACCTACATGCTGTGTGTTTAAAAAAAAAGTGTTTCAAAAAAAAAGACCTACATGCTGGATTAGCTTTCAGAAAGAAAAGAAAAAGCCTACATGTTGGATTACTAAACTAACAGTATAGGTAAATAATAGACTATATAAAGAGCGCATCCGTAAGTGAAAGGTATTTTGTTGAATTCCTATTATCAGCATACCAGTGTTTTGAAACCCGATCCGGACCCGCGGTTGAACCGGTAAACCCAGTGACCCAAAATAAATCCGGTTCGGGTTTTGTTAAAAACCTAAAATTTAAAAACTCGCAAAAACCCGAAAAACCCCGCTAAAACCCAAAACCCGATGCCGGTTGAACCACTGGTTGAACCAATAAATAATTTTTTTTTTTTTTTAGTTTTAAATTATGTTTTAATTCTGCTTTATATTCTAAATTTATAATTTAAAAGTTAGGTTTTCACGTTTTAGTTATTGGCATTGACATCTTCTTCTTTAATTTTAGATTTAATTTTCCGCCTTTTTATCATACATAATATCTATTACACTATTTTATCTGGGATTTTTAAATTTTGATGAAGATTTCACTATACCACCTGAAAAAATGAACTGAATGGTGGTAGCGAGAACCAAAATTAGTTGATGTGATTTGGTGTTAGTTTATTTTGTTATTGTTAATTTATTACAATGATATTTTACTTTTGGTTTATTTTGGATTTGAAGTTAATTTATTATTCTCATTAGACATTTAAATATTTATGAATTTTATATCTTGATTTTTGTAGATGTCATTACTCTTAACTTGTTATAAGAAAATTAAATTATCTAAACTAGTTTTTGATATTTTGTATATTTATACATTTTATGTTTTATAAAAATTTAGAAAATTTAGCTTCTATATTTTTATTTTCATAGCTAATATATTATTATATAATAAAATTTCATTTATTAATCCGTGGGTGAACTGCGGTCGACCCAGTGACCCAATGACTCGGTAAGTCGTTCGGTTCAGTGTCCGGGTCGGGTTTAAAAACATTGCAGCAGACAAAATGACCTTTCTACTATAAGACGCTTTAGCTTTGTGTTTTGATATGTCTAGTGGCTTACACATATTTTTGTAACATTAAAAAAATATACAACGATAATGGAATACGAACACCTTTCTTTACTTTAACTTTTTCTTTTTCTTTTTGAAAATATTACTTTTAACTTTTCGTGTCCATGCAACGACCCTTTTCTATCATCTTTACACCTTTGTAGGAAAAAAGATCACCAGTTATTAACACAACGCCAAAAGTCTTACTTTACACAACTTTTTATCATCTACCAATGGCGACTATATACTAATAAATAAATTAAATAGATTGTTTCCCTTTAAACAATATACTATAATAACAGCTTAATTAATTAATGAATATATAAGAAAAGTATATATTTTAAAAAGTAATGAAGAAAAATCCTGACGTCACGATGACGAACTAGGCAAAACATCTTCATTAGTACGGTCGAATCTCAAAGACTTTCCAGTGTACAAAACCTTAACGTTAGACCGTTGCTCATCCAACAGCTTCCTTAAACTCCTTTTCGCGTTTGCCCGAAACGGACAGTTCGAAGCCAAAAAACCATCGACCAAATGCAAGTACGCCTCTAGGTCATGACAGCACGCCACGTCAGCGTTAGGTTTCAAATAAGGAGACATCTTCATGTCCACGCGCAGCTCAGCTCCCACGTGCGAGTAAGCCCATGGATTGTTCCTCTCCACCATCTCCATTATACGATTTTGCCCCTGCTTGTTATTATTATTATCGTTATCTGAGAATATCCCCGGAACTTTCGTCACCACGTCTTGGCTGTTCACGACGCGTAGGACTTTCACTCCCTTTGATTCTAACCGCTCAGCGAACTCACGGTTCCCTACACGTGGCCCGCCGAAGGAAAAAACCGAGACCGGAGGCGCGTGGGGGACACGCTCCGCGATATCGTCGGCTGCGAGGAGAGCTATGGCGGCACCGAGGCTGTGTCCGGTGACGCTGATGCTCAGCTCCTCTCCGGCGTAGAGATCCACGAGCCGGCTGATCTCTCCGATCAAAGACTCGGCGAGACTCGGCGCGTGTTGGCTTGCCGTCGTGTAGAGGCTGTTGAACCCGCATTCAACTTTGGGCCGTGTCGGGTCTGATGGATCGGGTTTGGGCTCAGGCATGGAGACCAGATTGGGTCTAAAATTCTCTGACCACTCGAGCAACGTGGCGGTTCCACGCAGCGCGATGACGATCTCTCTCCTCCCCATCCGTCGGATCTCTCTCGGATCATCGCAGACTGCCACGTACCCAACCCAGCTAGTCTGTTTAGTCATCCACCTAAGATCAGGTGCCACGTCATTAATCCATTTAGGTAAATGAACTGATGACGTGGCGTAAAGACTCTTCGTTACTTTAAATGATTTATCAGGTAACGTGATGTCGTCTCTAGGCGAGCCTTCCGGGTCGGAGTGAAACGCGTGATAAGCCGCCTGCACAAACTCACCGTAACGGACAAGCTCTCGCCGGAGATTCTCGTCTAGTGGATCAAGCAACCCGGCCCAGTTATTCGACCCGTGTAGCTCCCGCCACTTAGACCCGAGTTTATTCTTAGGTGAACGCTCCTCAGATGATTTTGAGAGAAGTCTTTGAAGCCGCTTTAGATTCTTTGGAGACATTTCGTCAACGGCGGCTTTCATCTGAGGCCATATTCTCGCCAAACTCAAACCTCCGAGTAACGTAGACGTTGACGTTGTACGAGAAGATACATTGTTGTCGAGATTATCTGTAGAGGTTGTCTTAAGAATGTTCTCAAGGTTTCTGAGATGGTCTTTATTTGTTTTACTCGCCAGAGAAACGGAGAGTGGCTTCGCTTGGATCAACGTCGAGGTTTTGGTACTGCATGTGAAACGTCTACGTTTTGCATGGAATAAGTCGGTGTTAGGCGTAAGTGTCTGCATGAGCGATTATGGAAGGAGAGAGAGGCTAAAGTTTTTTTTTGTTGAGAAGAAGAGAAATGCTAAGAAAGTAAGATGGATCATGTATTTAAATGAAATTGTTTATGGTGGCTATTGACGTATTTCGATATGTATTGAGCCTTGGGGTTTGAACGTTATTACTATTTTGACCCTGTTTGTTTGACTTGACTTTGTTTTTATTTGATTAGTTTTCATCCTTTCTGTTTTAAGGAATATTGAAATTCTTTGGGACCAGTATTGGCTGGCCATTTTATAGGATATTTTGGACCGTTTCCATTATGTCTCTAAAAGTTCCGTGTGTGTTTCAAGAAAAGTCTTGCTATTATTCTTTGCACATGCAAACGATTCCAAAATATAAACTACAAATGGTACGTATTGTATTTAACACTGTATTCTAACATAAAAAAAAAAATCGAACTAGTTTGAGGATCCACAGTTGACAGTTACAGTGAAAACTGTTACTACTAATTAGTGCGACCGAAATGAAAAAAAAAACAGAGAGTATGATTTTAGATATTAGCAGTTAATCCAATTGTATCCAGTATATGATATATCATTAAATTAATAGTTTTACAAATTTCTTTAGTTAATTAATAAATAGTTTTCTTAATATACTACATAAGTTTTCAAATATATTTCAGTGTTATAATACTATGGTTCAATAATTGTGAACTAAACTAGAATTAAACCTATAAAAGTTGAAGCTTAAGAAAACGATAATGCAAATTATTTAGACTTTTGGTTAAAGTTTTTTATTCCCAACTGAGCTTTTTTTTTTAACAACACGTCTTCCTAGATACTAGGATGCCTGGACTGTGCTATTTTACGGATACTGTTTTTTTTTTTGCCGTTCTGATGGACGCGTCTGACTTGAAGTAGTACTACTTGTATTAGATTATATTAGATGGAGTATATCAGTTTTGGTCTATTATGCCGTCTTCCTAGATGCTAGGATGTCTGGACTGTGTGTTCTGTAAAGGGTACAATCCGTATAGGACAGAAAAGCAACGAACCGTCTTTTGTAATAAGAGAGGAAAAGTATGCACAACTCCTTTTTCTCCTTTGTGCTTAAAAGTTAAATGTAGTAAGTATATATTCTGACACCCTAACAAATTAATCCAACCATGTACCAATGTTAGACCGCTCCATATCCTAATAATATTTTAGTTTTGTTTGTTTATGATCATGTAGTCTTTTTTTTTTTTTTTTTTTTTTTTTGAAACAACAATTTATTGAAATCAGACCGTATAAGGCCAATACAAGTAGTTTAGTAGCCATACAGGAGGAACAGAATAGGTAACTACATCATGAGAATTCTCTATTGCATTTTTAGATATAATATTTGTTGCCCTGTTTCTTTCTCGATTAACCATTCCCAGATGTAATATCATGTAGTCTATCATAACATTCTTGTAACTATTAATTAAAAGAGTTTTATAAAAAAGAAGTCGAAACACCGCGTAGGATATATATTAATTTTTTTAACAACCACCGCGTAAGATTATATGATATAACACTTTGACGAACTAAAAGGACTACGTTTTGATATTCATATGCTAAGAAAAAAATCTTTTGATTGTGTCACAGAGTTGTTCAAGTAATACATTTTATAATTTATTTTGTACCACCGGTCGTCGTTATGTACGACAGTACGAACTCTAGGTTTATTTTTAATACTAAAACACAAAGAAAAACAACAGTTTAGGTGTGAAGGTGAAAGTCCCTTCGTGGACATCCGATGAAAAAAAGGTGTGAAACTGAAAAAGTTATGGTTTCAAGATCAATGCATTTTAGACAAGCGTGTCAACATAGTTAGAACATTATATCTATTGACAACGTAGTTTTGGTGACACGATCAAAAAATTGAACATGTCTTTATTTCTGTAATACCGTTTCCATTTTCCATAGTATCTTAGTTTTTGAGTTTTCAATGTGTGAAAGACCTTAGTTCAGAAAAGAAAAATAATTATAAATACTAAATTAGAAGACCACATGATCGACGACGGGCCAAACTAAACATATATAAAAAGAAATCCTGAAATTTTGTTTAACGACTCTAACAATCCAAATGTTTGAAAGAAATAACAATTATCGTGATGTTTTTCTTACATTATTTGTTACATCATATTGCAGACGTATATAAGTGACGTTTTTGGTCCAAACTGAACAACCTTTCAACATACAAGAACTTTCAACGTCATAAATCTACGATGGGGTACTTTTTGTATATATTTCCAAACTTTGAAATCATATACATATCATTAACAACAAAGTATTTCATTCCAAAATCTCTCATTGTAAAACAATAATATCAGTATGTTAAATAAATAATTTAGAAACAAAAACAGGAAAAGAACATCGAATCCTATATACACCAGCGTTAACGTATAAGTATTATTACTTTTGAAAGTGCAAATATCATAGTAATGTAATTGTTCTTCTACAAATGCTAAACACTACCACAACTCAAATTAGAGTTGCATCGACTCATATTTAGAAAATTAGGTATCTATATTACATAAATCAAGATCTTATACGAAAAAACGGGAAGAAATCTTCGCAAACGTCACAACCTATGACTCACGATTTCAAATTTTCAACAACCTGGGTCACGCGTCAGTGATTTATACAAATATGTCCAATATTTATCAAATTTTTTTTTTTTGATAAAGGGTTTACGGTCCAATATTTATGTTCCATCCAATGCAATGGACACTAATTCAACCATCAGGAAAAGACAGAGATGTCCGCACCAGTTTTTTTTTTTTTTTTTTGAATGCATGTAAAATTTATTCAATTAAAATCATAGTTACATCAAGTGCCACATTTTTAGCTAAAGCAGCAGATAACTACACTCACACACAAAACAAAAACTTCAAAAAACAAAAGAAACCCAAAATCATCAAAATATTTCTTCTCAAAGCTTGACCACATGGAATAAGTCAAGTTTGGAAGGATTATAAAACTTTTCTCATTAAAACTTAATCAAATAAAACCTAAATGGACATAAATTTGATTAGAAAAAAGAGTAAAAGTTTCATAATCAGAGAAATGTATGAACTACACACAATAAAGACGATTTCCAAGCCAAGCTCCTCAAAAAACTAACTCCTCAAATCCTTGTTGAGAACCAAGTCAATAAGCTATCCTCTAGATATTTTTTTATCCTTCCCTTTCACCATAAGTAGCTTTAGACGTAAGTCTTATCCACCATCTTGGAAAGGGTTTTATCATCCAGCGGCTGCTCTCCATGCTTCCTAGCGTTACGTTTTCTCCAAATACTATGAGCCAGAGATTGAAGGACATAGCAAATGATAAACGTTTCAGTAGGACATCTTCTAGCCTGAGAAATAATACCAAAGATCTCATCCTTCAGAATTCCTTGAACCATATCACTCCAAATTTTACTTGAATACTGGCAGCTGAACAACAGTCACTATGGAATAGTGAAGCCACAAACACTGATCTTACTTTTTAGAATGATCAAAACATTAGACAAAGAGAGATATTCACACAAAGTTGCAAGGTAAGAATGAGAGGACGATTTGCTCTAAGCAAGAAGCTGTGAAACGATTGGGGGTGACTAATGATGGATTTGAGTGTTCTCTATAGCCAAAAGTTTCTCTACAACAATAAATTAAAAGCAATCAAATTTTATTAAACAAAAGTAAAGACTCAGCCAAAAATCTTCACAGAGAATATATTTTAACTCTAGAAATCAATTTCTCTATAACTTTATAGGTTTGATTGGTAATGATCGCAATTTTAAGATTTTTGCTCTGTGGATCTAGAATTAAAGAGTTGGAAATCGCATAAAATTTTCTCTAGGTTTTTGTCTTTCTACACCACACATGCATATATGCATACGTAAAGTTTTAAAAGGGCTGTAAGTTTATAAAAATTAATAAAAGATGATTTCTGTAGGTTTAAGGCTTATTAAAATTAATGAAATACGATTTTTTTTTTTGGTAAGAATTAATGAAATACGATTGCTATAGGTTTAGGGCTATAATATAATTATTGTTGTGGATAGCATCTACAGAATTTACTAATCAACTATTAACTCTTTGTAATAATTATACACTAATAAAATTTAAAGTTAAAGATATAAAATCTACAAATTAAATTTTATAGTAAAAAACTTCAAAGCTACAACCGCTACAAATCAATCCCGAAGACAAAATAAGTGTAGTTTTCGATTTTCAATGCAAAATTTATTAAGTTTATACTATATTTTATTTTTTATTGGTTGATATATGGTTACGTATATAGGTAATTGTGTTTTTAAACTGAAAATATACAAAATTAATAGTCTGTGTGCACAAAACTAAAGTGACACTTAATATGAAATAAAAAGAATATGTGATTCTTCACTGAACATAGTGAATTCTCGCATGATATCTCATAGTTGTCTGTATACATGAGATATTTCAAGGAGACGAGTCATATTTTATTCATAACAAGAATATTTCGTAAAAGAGATTATAAATATTTTAGAAAAAAAAACTTCGAGGAAATCAAGAAAATGCATTAAAAAGATGATAAGTAGATGATGTCCATCATTGATTATTTTTGCGACTTGCATTTGTTTCCTAATGTATTAAATCATATTTATCGCTAAAGTGTAATAAGATACTAGATTTTGACCCGCGCTTGGAAAGCGTAAAAATTTTTTATGATTAAAAATTTATATAATTGGGTTTTGTCTTAACTTAAAGAATGTTTTGTATAAAATTAGTTTACAAAAATTTGTGGTGATAGTTTTTTTTCATTAGTTTTTAGTTTCAGTTTTTTATTTTTAGATTTTGTTTTAAATTTTGGTTTTTGGTTTTTATTTTTTAAGTTTCTATTTTTTATTTTCAGCTTTTGATTTGATTTTTTAATTTTTAGACCCGCTGAGTTAGTTTGAACTGATATTACCAACAAACAAATCTCAATTAATCGAACATGTAATTTAAAACTGAAAAGATGACATAATAATTTTCTACAAATTTTGAAATAGTTTATTTTGTAAATAAAAAAGCAAAAAAATATAACCTGCGTTTTCAGCTGTTGGTTTTGGATTTTAGTTTTTAGATTTGGTTTTTGGTTTTGCTTTACATTTTTTTTTAAATCTGTAAATTATTTAAGAAAAATAAAACAATAAATTATTTAAAAGTTACCATTAAAATTTATCAAGATAGAGTGATTGCTATTTAAAATAAAACATATTAACATGTTTTAAAGTACATGATTTAAATAAGTGATTAATAATAGATAATTTTGTTTTGTTGAAAATATTAAATATTTTTGGGCTAAAAAATATTAACATGTTTTAAAGTACATGATTTAAATAAGTGATTAATAATAGATAATTTTGTTTTGTTGAAAATATTAAATATTTTTGGGCCTGAAAATAGTAATTTATTTTTGATCCATTAAGGTGGAAAGTTTATTTAATGTTTTTTGGAGTTTTTCTTTAATATTAATCCCAAAAAGCAAACAATTAAATGTCATAAAAACAAAAGTAAGTCCAAAACTCTATTCCATAAATAATCGCCGGTTTAATTTAAGTAATGCGGTTCAATCAACTATATAACTTGTATTATTTGTAACACTTTAGAAATGGTCCAAATTTAAATGACAACTTGTATCAGTAGATAAAAAGAATGACTCTATTTTAATAGAACACTAGATTTTGACCCGCGCTTGAATGCGAAGAATTTTTTATAATTAAAAATTTATGTAATTGGGTTTTGTCTTAATTTAAAGAATGTTTTGGGATAAAATCAGTTCACCAAAATTTGTGGTGATGATTGTTATTCATTAGTTTTTAGTTTCAGTTTCAGTTTTTATTTTTAGATTTTGTTTTAGATTTTGGTTTTTTGGTTTTTAGTTTTAAGTTTCTATTTTTGATTTTCAGATTTTGTTTTGGGTTTTTAATTTTTAGACCCACTGAGTTAGTTAGGGCTTGAAAATAATAAGTGATTTTTTGATCCATTAAGGTGGAAAGTTTATTTAATGTTTTTGGAGGTTTTTCTTAATACTAAGCCCAAAAACCAAATCATATAATTTGTTCTAAAAACAAAAGTAAGCCCAAGACTATATCGCATAAATAACCATCGGTTTAATTTAAGTAAAGCGGTTCAATTAACTATATGACTTGTATTATTTGTAACACTTTAGAAAGAGTCCAAATTTAAATGAAAACTTGTATCAGTAGATAAAAATAATGACTCTATTTTAATAGAGTAGATATGTATTTAGTTTTCTAGTATAATATAAATAAAACTATAAAAGTATATAAATCAGAGATTTTGGTATATAGGAAAAAGGGGATCTTTTGTTTATTACTCATAATACAATTTAATAATTAATTACAGAAGGAAAAATATAGTATACATGTTTTTAAATATTTGTACTTAATATGCAAATAGTTCTTTTTGGTTTTATTACTATCATGATATAATAGGTATAGAATCTGCAGCACATTGGAAAGTAAGACTTGTTTCAGTACTATTATAATACAGTGGACTAATTAGTAAAGGAAACAAATACAAAAGTTGGTAAAATAGAAAGTCAAATGAAAAGAATCTCAGAGAACAAAGACCAAAATGAAACATTGAATTTGGCGTGGCATAAGTTCATCCTCCTCCTCATCCTCATCCTCATCCTCATCATCTATGACCTCTCCATCATAAGTATCTCTCTCTACCTCTCTTTTTCTTCAAACACATCTTCCTCTCTCGATCAGGTCTTTATTTTCCAGGACCGACTTTGAAATTTAGGAGACTCTAGACAATTTATTAAAGCTTTTAATTAAAATGTTTTTAATACAAATTTGAGGGCCTACAATTATTTTTGTAGGGAGTTTGTGTGTGTAATTTTCTTCAAATTTTTAGTGGTCTAAGGCTACTGTTTTATTGGCCTTTGCACCATAATACCTTCTCCCCTAAATTTTTAGTGGTCTAAGGCTACTGTTTTATTGGCCTTTTGATTTCTCGTTGTCTTAGTCTTTGACTTGAAGATTGCCTTCTTAAATTCAACGCCGTTTGTTGTTTGTTTCTATATTGCAGAAACGTCATTCGAGAATGAGTCAGGGAGGCAGCCGAGCTAAATTTGAGCCTGTTCGTCTATATGGCATGCTTCTAAGTCACTTTCCATGCAACGTAATGAGTTGCTTTCCTTTCTTTGAATCTATTTTGTTGAAAAATTTCAAAATTTTCACTATCATCTCTGTGTAATTTGGGTTTTGCATTAACCTTATCTCAATCTGTCTCAGCGGCAGAGGCAAATGATTTTTTACTAGGGTCAATTTAATAACTACACTTTACACGGTTAATAATTTAGTTCTTTAATGCTTCATCAAATTTTTACAAGGAATATACATGTAATTGTTTTTCATATGGTCATCTAACCACCCTAGCTAATAACACGCTAGCTAGCTCCGCCACTGGCTGTCTCATGCCGAACGTGTGTTTTTTTTTTTCATCTAATTTTTTCTTAATCATTGTTTATGCAGCCATGGTTTCTTCGTAGAAACTTGAACTACAAAAATCAAGAAAATGGCGTAACAAGGTATGAGACTTCTTGTTGTCTCCAATACTTCTTCTATGTTTCATGGTAAGCGCTTACATTATCGTCATTTGTGTCTTTTTTTTTGGTTAGGTCCGCATCTGCTGGGATGGTAGTTTTCAACTTTAAGGACTTTGATAACACAGTGCAGAAAACTAAAGGTGAGTTAGTTCATATTCTTCCTGTAATTTCATGTCTTTCTCTCTATATGTTTCGCTAGTTTTGTTTTGTTTTATTTCATTTTATGTATATATTATGGTGCAGTTACGAAGAATTGCTCTTGTCCCTTTTGCTATATTCTATGTGGTAGCTTCCAGGTGGGCAACTATCTCTACCGAGGCCTAACATATGCCATTTCCATGTTGTGTTCTAGATGGAGTTTACAATCTCTTGTTCTTGTGTGTTTGTGCAGGGGCTGCAACTTCATTTGATATCATTTCATAAATTACTTGATTATGAGTTCATGGTATGTGGTTCATATGGAACTCTCTTGTTTTGCTGTCTTTTTTTTTTATATTTGAAACTATAGTAAAGAGGGTCTTTCCTACTCTAGACTTCAGAAGAAAACCAGACGGTTAATGTCTCTGTAAGACTTGATGCTTCCGAAACCGAGGTTATTTTCTATAAACTTGGTAGCTTGGTTAAACCCTACAACTGCTGAAAATGTTAATTGAGATTCCACCTTTTTTTACAGGACCAAGGAAACGATCGAGAAAGATTTGGGCTTCTCTCCTTTTGGTATCTTTCAGAAGCTCTTAATTAACAATAGTAACTCCTTTCTTTAATCTTTATCAGTACATCTTTATAAACCCAACCATAATGTTTTGCAGCTCAAAA